CCCTCCTCCCCCCTCCCGATTGAATTTAAAAAATATTGTCTTAGACTTAGGTAGAGAACTTCCTTACATTGCTGGCCTTGGAAATTGAAAGTGTTTTTGACACTTTACTGTCCTGGTTCCCTGTTGCTGCTGTGTTATCAATGAGCTCCTTCTGTGTATGGTTTTCTAATGTGGTTCTCAGTGTTGTTTGTCTTGTGACCTTCATGTGCATCTCTTCCTGCACTCCCATCTGTCAGTTCATGAAAATCCAGAGGTATCAAATGTCCAGGATTTTTAAAAAGCAAGTAACAGGTTTACTTAGAACACAAACATTTCTGGGACCTGCAGCTTTCAAGACAGCAATGGGGAGAGGTCCAGAGTATCATATGTAAATGGTCTCATGTGGACTACAGTTTGAGCCTGTGTTCCAGATAGTACCTTCATGAAAAATCAGACCCTGATGGGGAGCAAAATTTGTCTCCTGTAGTGCTTCTTGATTTGTCTTGATTAGCACTTCTGAAACATGTTGTTCAGAGCTCTGCAGCAGTGGAGTTATATGACAGATTAAAGTTCACCTTTAAGACTGACTTCTTTGGTGGGTAACTTGTTTCCTTCTGGTCAGCTGTTGGTATGGCTAACAGTCCAGCTGCTGGACTGTTATCCAGTCATCCCAGCCACTTAAGGGATCTGTATTGATTAGTAAAGGTATAGAGTGGTGGTAGTTTTATCTTTCTTTTTACAGTAAAAGATTACAGAGAATTATCATGGTTTGTACAACAGAAATGTGTTCACATATGTCTGACTTAAGTATTTAGGTATTTTAAACTAACAAAAAATCCTTTCTTCCACGTAAAAACTATATGCTCAAATAATTTAGCTATTTCTGGTAGTAATTCATAATAAGTAAATAGAGATGAAATGAAATGAATGTGTGACCAGGGTACCCGATGTTTTAATACATGAGAGATTAGGGTATTATGTATGTCCTCTTGAGAAAATGAGTTCAAAAGTTTTACTGTTTAGCTTGGTTATTCAAATTGTATTAAAGACTTAGTCACATATAGCATGTTAATACTTTTATTTCCGATTTTTCTCACAGCTGCAAGAGAATCCATCTGGTTAGAAAGAGAAGAGAGAGCCCGGCAACATTACGAAAAACACTTAGAGGAACGCAGAAAGAAGCTAGAAGAGCAGAGATTAAAGGAAGAGAGAAGGCGAGCTGCCGTAGAAGAAAAGCGAAGGCAGAGAATAGAAGAAGATAAGGTAAGAAGAAATGTCATGAAAACACTTTTCAGCTTGCTTTTACCGTAAGATACGGTACTATCAAACTTTTTCTTTAAGAGTTCATGGAAAGAATGCAACATAAGCCATGGTCAGTATGAGAGAGCATGCGAAAGAGGATTTTAAGCCTTACTTGCACAGATACTGCTTCTTAAAGTGCCCTTTATGAATCAAATGCAGCTAAGTTGAGCATGTCTGGGTTACAGTGTATGGCACTACAGAAACTCATGCAGAAAAATACAAATTGGGTCAGTTTGTACGGTTATCTGTTAATCTTAGCCATTCAGTATAAGGGTAGCTAAATATTAGTTGCCCTAACAAAGGGCAACTTAAGAAAGTGAGTGTGTAATGAAATATGCTCTTGGCTGATTTGTCTCAGTTAAGCTGGGAACTACTTGCAGTGTGATCCTACGTAAGTCAGCTCAGCCGTGTGGGTTTTTTGGGTTTTTTTTTTTTCCCCTCTTTCTCCCATTGTTCTAGTATTTAGTAGTGGGAGATACAAGATGGGAAGTAGCCCTAGAATGTGTTTGTGTAGTGACTGCCATAATAGGGCCATTGTTTTTTCTCTGCAGTTCTGCAGGTCTCAAACAGATCTTACCTTTTCAAAATTACAGTTAATATTTTAACTTATTTATGTCTTAATTACTGCTTAATCCTGTTCTCGAGTTAGGATGGTTCATCTAAGTGTGTGTCTTAGTAGGCAGCACATAAGCTTGAACACAACTCCAGGAGGCCTGCTAGGTTTTGTCCGTGTGGATGGTAGCAGGGTTTGATGAGAAGATTAAGTTAAAAACCCAATAGTATCCAAATGTATTATCCTGTTGTACTTAAGGAACGACATGAAGCTGTTGTACGTCGCACAATTGAAAGAAGCCAGAAGCCAAAACAAAAGCAAAACAGGTGGTCCTGGGGAGGAGCACTACATAACCGCATTAATAACACAGGTAAAGAGGGAGGCTGGGTTTGCTAGCCAGTTTCCCTGCCCTGCCAGTTAACTGGAATTTACTTTGCTTCTGTTAAAAGGAACGATGGTTCAGTGTATGCTGGTTTAAATTCTTTGTTCTTGATCTTGTTGTTGCTAGCAATGGCATGTTTCTGACATTCTTGTGTAGCAAAAAGATAACAAGGAGAAATCTGAACAAAAGTTAAAACTTGTTTCAGGAGTTGACTAATGCTGTAACTCTATCTTGCTACAGCTTCTTGCTTCTGCTGCTTTGCTGTTGTTTGTGTGTGTATGTGTGGGTGTGCTTGTGCTGTGTCAATCTTGTGATATGAGCTACTGTGTGCAAATGCTAAATATGGCTCAAAAAATAGGTCTGGTGGAAATGACCAAATACTGAGATTAAAACAGACACAAGGAAGAAAAATTGTTCTTTGTAATAAGCTATCTGTACTTTCTACAGATATTTTGGGAGATAGAAGTCCTTTTTTCCCCCTAGAAAAACTTAAGATGGGCAAATTAAGTGAATTTGAGCTATAAGCTTTTTTCCCCAATTATCTTAGAATCACAGAATCATAGAATCATTTAGGTTGGAAAAGACCGTTAACATCATCGAGTCCAACTGTTAACCTAGCACTGCCAAGTCCACCACTAAACAGTGTCCCTAAGCTCCACATCTACATGTCTCTTAAATACCTTTAGGGATGGTGATTCAACCGCTTCCCTGGGCAGCCTGTTCCGATGCTTGACAACCCTTTCGGTGAAGAAATTTTTCTTAATATCCAATCTAAACCTCCCTTGGCGCAACTTGAGGCCATTTCCTCTCGTCCTATCGCTGGTTACTTGGGAGAAGAGACACACACCTACCTCACTACAACCTCCTTTCAGGTAGTTGTCGAGCTCGATGAGCGCTCCCCTCAGCCTCCTCTTCTCCAGGCTAAACAGTCCCAGTTCCCTCAGCCGCTCCTCATAAGACTTGTTCTCCAGACCCTTCACCAGCTTCGTTGCCCTTCTCTGGACACGCTCCAGCACCTCAAAGTCCTTCTTGTAGTGAGGAGCCCAAAACTGAACACAGTATTCGAGGTGCGGCCTCACCAGGGCCGAGTACAGGAGGACGACCACTTCCCTACTCCTGATGGCCACACAATTTGTGATCCAGGCCAGGGTGGCATTGGCCTTCTTGGCCACCTGGGCACACTGCCGGCTCATGTTCAGCCGGCTGTCAACCAGCACCCCCAGGTCCTTTTCCTCTGGGCAGCTTTCCAGCCACTCTTCCCCAAGCCTGTAGCGCTGCATGGGGTTGTTGTGGCCGAAGTGCAGGCCCCGGCACTTGGCCTTGTTGAACCTCATACAGTTGGCCTCGCCCCATCGATCCAGCTTGTCCAGATCCCTCTAACTTAATCTGCCAATCATTAATGTGTATATGCCCTGTTAAATATGGCTTGAACCCAAAAAAGAGAACTTGTCCTTTATTTCTTTCACCAGAAAGTGGTGCTTAGAATTCTTCTCTTCTTACTCTAATGTATACATTTCAATGTGTCCAAGCTTTCATCAAGGAGGGAAAAAAAAGTTGAGAAAAGAATGCTCTGAAATCTTTGTCATATAGAAGTTCAGTGAACAGTTATTTTTCATAAAAGGTTGCTTTTTTGCCTAACTCTGTATAACTTACTTGATTTTTATTTTCTTTACTGTGAAAAATCATTGTCTTGCATTCTGTCCCTAGGTTATTTTTTTGAATCATCATTCACCTTTCTCGATTTAGCAGGCCTGGAGCACCACTTCAGATCTCTGGGTGGTGCTAGAAAACCTGGTACATAATTGCTGTGGTTTGTTGATTCCTTTACCCATAGCTAGTTCTCAGGAAATGAGATCATCAGTAACTAAACCACCCTCATGTAGTTGCAATGCATGCTTAACATCATGCTGATAGATTAGAACTGTTGTTAGTACCAGATTTTTTCATTGTTACTGATTTTTACTATGGAGAACTACTGCTGGCTGACTCTAAAGATTTGGCACAATTCACTGAAATGAAGCATAATATTCTGTCTACTGGAATTCAAGAAGACCCAATTTGAATATTTTGGTCTTTTCTAAAACCCTTTTGGCACATTACATATATGCAGGATTTACATTTATTTTGCACATGAACACAGATATATAACCATCTGCACTGGCTGATGTGTTGTTCATGGATATTTTAATTCTTTTTTTAGAACAAAGAAACCAGCAATCTTCTAGGCAATCGTTTGCATTGGCCTATTCTACATTGTCGTGGTTTAACCTGGCAGGCAGCCAAATACCACGCAGCCGCTCACTCACTCCCCCCGCTGGTGGGGCGGGGAGAGAATCGGAAGGGTGAGAGTGAGAAAAACTCGTGGGTTGAGATAAAGACAGGTTAATAGAACAGAAAAGGGAAAATAATAATAATAATGGTAGAATATACAAAATGAGTGATGCACAATGCAATTGCTCACCACCCGCGCTGACCGATAACCAAGTAGCGATCGGTCCTTCCTGGATCACGCCTACCATTCATATACTGAGCATGACGTCACATGGTATGGAATACTCCATTGGCCAGCTGGGCTGGCTGTTCTGATTATGTTCCCTCCCATCTTGTGTACCTAGCTCAGTCAGTAGGCATGGGAGCTGTCCTTGGACTAGGAGGGCACTTAGCAACAACTGAAAACATCAGTGTGTTATCAACATTCTCCTCATACTAAATCCAAAACACAGCACTAGGAAGAAATTTAACCCTATCCCAGCCAAAACCAGGACATACATTTATAGGATTCATATTGCCAACACTTACACACAAATCCTCATGCTGAATTCCATTCATTTAAATAATGTTCACAGACACAAAAGAAATGTTGGCATGCCAAATACAAGCGGTGATTTTTAATATTGTCATTTGTCATCTCTAGAAAGCTGTTTTATGCAGTACATCCTTTATGCCAAATGTAGAATCTTTTGAAAAAACAGTATACATTTTCTCAGCTATAGATTAGATATGAGATCAAAATCCCCATCCCATTCCCACAAATACTGTTCTGACAAAGATCTGTGACACATGAAGCCTGAGTATCCTGTCTCCAGTACTGATTTGCACACAGCACTCTTCCATATACCCCATAGATCAATGTGGGATAATCTTGCCAGCCTGCAGAGGTCTTGTTCTTAGCTATAACATTTAGATTTCTCCTTTTAAAACCAATTTCTGAGTTTCGTCCTCCTTCCAGTACCCAGTTTGCTGATTTTATACTCTCATTGAGTGATTCTAACATTAGACAAAGTGAGCAAATAATCACATGGGGTAGGGGAGAACCTTTCTTTGCCCCAACCAGTTATGATGAATCCTATATAGTTCATAGATCTGGGGAGAGTGAAAATATTTTTCATGCACTGTATTTCTATGAAAATTTTTTGTACCCAGTGAGTGTACTTTAATCCACTAGGTCAGAACAGGTAAATACAATGTTGATGTACTTGTCATAAATGAACAATTGCAGATACTATTTCAGCAGCATTCTCCTTAATGTTGTCAGTGTCCTGAGTTTGTATCTGCTTGCAAAACAGCGTGTGGATGTGTTTTTGCACACACAGAATATGAAATCAGCAGAGCATTTAGGCGTATGCTCAAGCTTTGTTGCATTTCGGCATGGTTGAATGATTTGCTGAGTAGTACTGAGGTTCAGTACATGCTAAAATGTAAGCAAAAGCAGAATTGACTCTCCCAGCATCTTCTGAATGTCAGATTTCCAAATGGAAATTTGCAATGGAGGACATGTAGTTGATGCATGTAGCTTTTTTTTTTTTTTGAGAGAGAGGACAGAAAGCATACAGCTGGCCTGTTCATCTCCTTCCTCCTCTTCTGCCAGTGCTAGCAACCTTCATGTGACACATGCACGTGCACAAAGTATGTGCAGTCTGTATTCTTGAAATAACCATCACCCCCTCAGTAGGGTGCAGATGCTGACTCTGCAGCAGTTGCGCAGGCAAATAATGTAATACTGCTCTAAAATGTACAGAACCTAAAAGCAAAAAAAAACCCTTTAGTGTTATATACCAAGCATGTGCATTACAAGTAGTCTCTAGCCTTCCACAGAGACTCGTTTTCTTTATCTGCTAAGCTGTGTGCTGTTTTGGATTGACTAGCTACCGCTTCATTCACGGTGGGTAGGAAATGACTCGGTGGTGGGAAGTTTAGCGCTTACACATAACTACAGGATTTTTAACTAAATCTTTTAATTCCTTTTGTGCTTACCCTTGCTTCCCTTGTGCACTAGTCTTCCCTTAATCTTTCAGCATTGTATTGTCATGATGCTGACCTTCTGCCTAGTAACAGTGCCCTGTCAAATGTCACCTTTTATTCAGGTGCTAAGGGTCTTTTTATGAATAACCTCACATTTCCAAGCATGTTAGAAAGCTTCAGGGAAGGACTGTTGTAAGTCATGAGCAAGGTTTTTCTGAGAATATTGAAAGGAATGAGAAAATATCATCTTGTCTACTAGTATCCACTTCAGATCCTCCATTAAGTCCTTGGGTTGCAACCTGATTAAATGATAATCAATGAACAGAATATTTCAGATATTTGAAACTTAAATTAAATGGTTTTGTGCCCAGTCTTTGAGTCACGAGTACAATGTCTGCTGAGAAGTCCATTCTATTTTGAAAGTTCTTGTGGTAGAGCAGGAGTGACCTAGTCATGTTTTCCTCCTCCCACTAGTGAGCTAGGAACTTGCACTACTGCATGTGGGCTGTCAATTAGCATTATCTCCATTTGTTTTAGATCCAGACAGGCGGTCTGTTTCAACAATGAACCTTTCGAAACATGTTGATCCAGTCATTAACAAGCGGCTCTCCTCCTCATCTGCAACATTACTAAATTCTCCAGACAGAGGTACAGTTTCAAAGATTAAAAAAAAAAAGGAAAAGCAAGAAAGAATGTTCTATATTGATGTATTACTTTGCACATGAAACAAGCTTCTGAAGTCATTTTTTGTACTTCATCTAAGTGGGAGTGAAAAGACTTCAAATGTGAAAAGTAAATGGTTGAACATTTTTTCCTGTGAGAAGAAATATATATTTCTTGTTTTTTTCAAAACAAGAGAACTTATCTAAACAATCTTACTTTAGCAAATGATAAAAGCAGTGCTTCTGTCAGGTTTTTAGTAAATGAGGTACTACTATTGAAAGAATACATCGCTCCATAGTGCATGCAATCATGTGTGACCTTTTATTTGCATTAGGCCATTTTGCCATTTTTTTTTTTCCTTTTTTCTTTGGTAGTACTTCTTGAATATCGAAGAACATGTTGCATGAAGCTTTCAAGTAGTTATTTTATTACCATTTCTGGTTATTTTTATTGAACAGGTATGGGTGTTTTTCATATGATCTGTTTATTGACTTTTTGTGTCAGTTATTCTTCAAAGATTGCTTTACTTCAGTGTATGTTTTTTTTACAACTCTGCACAAATGATAAACAATTAAGCTTTTAAAAATTAGTGCAGCTGAATTGCTGCTTCTGTTCTGAGGATTTATGAGATTGAAGCATTGAGCTTAAAGGAGTTTTATAAAAGAATGTCTCTTGTATAACTTGTGCACAGAGCTTTACAGAAAAGTACTTGGGAGGGATTTTTTGCCCTCTGCTGAGAATGAGAAGTTCTGTCCCATTTCAATCCAGATAAATGCATATTTTCAAAAACAATTTTTAGAATGGAACTTTGGTTGTGTTGCAAAACCGGTTGGTAGATGTCATTATTTGTGTATCTTAACTAAGTGCCATGTTCTATGTGCGTGCTTGTACGTGTGTATCTGGTTGATTTGATGAGTCACATTAATCCTAGTGGGCTAACCTAGTTGTAGAGTCTGGTAACTTGCAAAAAATACAGCATTATATTAGGTAATAATTTATTCCAAAACTCCAATAATTTTTTGTTCTAAATGTTGACATTCAGTCGGTTTTAATTTTATTAGCTTTTCAGGTGTGTATATATTTTTCCAGATGGCTGCTGTTCTTTGCCAGGGGATGATGCTTTGAGGAAGGATATTGTGGGGGCAAGGGAGGAAACAGCAGCAAGCATTAAATATGAAGGATAGTCTCTTATGGACTGTAACTCATTGTGTGATAGCTTCTGCCACCCATTTCAAATTCAGAAGTTAGACTGAATAATAGGCAGTCTAGTGGTGGGGAAGGGGAAGGAATATAGAAGTGATGGCCATATGTCAGAAACTTTAAATGTTGATACATTCTTTGCTTGGCACTTTCATTAAAACAGCACAGAACTCTTCAGAAGTCTCCTATGTGTTTTGCAGACTCCAAGACAGAAAGCAAATCCAAATGCTATAAATGCCCTCTTTCTTGTGCAAAGTCAGATACCTAAATCTAATTGAGCATGTATCTGGAGAAGTGCTGCTCATCTCTCCAGTAGCCTCAACATCTTAAGGCAAATGCTTAAAGGAAGGCTCTGTCTGCTCCCCATTTCACCTTCCAGAGGGCACCAAATCACACTTTGTCTGTAATGCATCCTCCTACCTGCACAACAGCAAGCTGGAGATGAGGATGATAAGCTTACCCTAAGTGGCTTATAGCTGTCATCAAGAATATGTCTTCTGTTAAGCAGCACCTTTTTACCATTTGAAGGACAGGATTTTTTGGATTTTTTTTTTTTTGGCCCAGCAAAAGACAAAAGTTTTCATTAACTAATTGCCTAAAAGACTGGTTAATTCCTTTTCAAGTATACTATTACTATATAGCTCTTTATCACAATTTTACAATCAGGCAGCTAGAACAGGCTTCTCATTATGCTTTTCTGTTAGTGATACAGGTCTGAGTAGTTGAAACTGTAACAAAACATGAACACATATTCAAGTGGAGAAAGCTGCTGTTGACCAATAAATTTTGGTAATTGTGCTCTTTAAGGAAAGCTTAGCAAATGGATAATACTTTAGATAAGGTATGAGTTACACACTTCCTTAGCTTGGAAAAGCAAAACTTGCACCACAGTTGTGTTCCTCCTCCTCTCTGCAGTGCTCTTTCATTCAAACAGATCTTGAACAGGTCTCGATCGCTGCGTCCCCTTTGTCTGCCACCTTTATGGAAGAAATTCAGCGGCTCCAGTATTGTTTCCTATTGAAAGAGAATCTAAGCATAGAGTAGTTTTTCCCCATCTACTGCTCAGCATGTTGTGGCTCTATATAAGCAAACACCACTGTTATCAGTGAGTCTTCTTCATGGTTCTCATCACGAGACCTGTTAAATCTCTGCCTCCCATCTGTTCCTAGAGCTAATCAGATGCTGCTGTTTGCTTACTTGCTATTTATCTGCTGCTGCTAAGACAACTTTCCAGTGTTTAGTTTGTATATCCTGAAGACAAATACAGATGATTGTAATCAATGCACTGTTGCCAGCTCCCTGGGACTTTGTGTGCTTTTCAGTTACAAGTTAGGCTGTAGAGATCATCTTTAACCTATTTAAACTAACCTGCTTGTAGCTGAGGGTAGGGGTACTTGCACCAGCAACCCTATCATGAATGTGCTTCCTCTGTGGAAATAAGGAGCAAACAGCACTAAGAGTGATAGCCTAACACAGCATGAGAACAAAAAAATATCGTTTCCTCATGTCTGTCAGATGGTTTGAAGGACTAAAGCTTGAAAACATCACCCTAAAGTGTTAAAAACAAAAAGAGCAAGAAAAAAAAACCCTGACCTTATTGTTTTAAAGTCAATCTTACTATTTTTGTGATGCTCTTTGTTTTGTATTCAATTTGCTTCAATGTAAATTGGACACCAAAGTTAAGTTGTTCAACGCATTCAGGTGTTAATACTCTTGTACTTGGAACTCAGTGGCAAAAGTTTATTTGGCTGTTCTAGGTTAATGGTGATGCTAATGACTGTTAGAATATGTATTGGAAGTGTCAAATATGATGCTTTCAGGGAGCTGTGCGTTTGGAAAATTCTGTATGTGATGACCTTGATCCACAAAGCCAAGATGTATTTAAATGAACTCTGATCTAAAACCAATTTTAGAGATTTAGGAAGACCTCACTCCAAGCTCCTGGCTAAAACTATTTTGACACCTCTGAATCACGCCTGTTGCTTATATGGAGAAGAGAGTTTTTGCTGGTCTTTCTTAGCTCGCGGTTGATGCGTATCAGCTACCTCGCTCCCAAACACTGCCTCAGTGCTGTTAGTTGGATGCCGTGGGCGCATGATTGCTTCCAGTAGGTGGTGTGGATATAAGCTCCCCTGTGTTAGGGGCAAAGAGAAAAGAGAATTAAACTATACTCACCTTTATGGCAAATGACATGGGATAGGTGAGACATGGCAATTTAGTGTTCTAAGTCACCAGTCTCTTAGCCGTGTCCTCTTGAGACTACTTCTCTGGGGCCTAACGTGTAAGGTGTGTGGCTGGCCCACAGGGCCATATTACATTGTGACATTTACTTATCAGCTGTTTGCAGCTGTACAGATGAATGCCAAGAAATTGATAGTATACGTAGTACTGATTTATTGGCCTAAAGTTTCAGGGATTGCTTTCTGAAGTTGTATGATCTTTGTGTTAAATAATGATAGAAGAGATTCTCCAGGCTCATTCATACTCATGCCTGTGAGCCTCACCTAGTAAAACCTGAGACCAGAAAAAAGAATCTGCTATCTTGCAACAGTAGCTTTAAACAGTGATCATACTGAGCATGGTGCCTGGAGAAGAAAGGAAGCAAAGATTTTACTATTATTGCATCCAATTTAATGGTAGTTCTGTGATTTTTCTTCATTGTTAAATTACAAGCCTAATGATAATGTGTGTGCTGTAATGAAAGTCTCTGTAGGGTATTTTGTGTCTCTGTATAATCTGTACGAATGAAATGGAACCATTAATCACAAAGAGCTCTGGCAATAGTACATTGTGTAAGGATGCTTATCTAGAGAGCCTGCTGTGTTTGAGTCTCCTATATTTCTATAGTTATGCCCCTTATTGAGTTAGCAGAATTTAGGGGACCAATTTGAGAAGAGAAAAACAGTACTGAGGGCAGATTAGGCAATTATATTTTCATCGGATGAGATTGAGATTGGCCCCTTTTCATGGGGCTCAGCATGGAGTAGATTAAAGACAGATTCAGAGTTTATGGCTATTAAAAGTGATGGATCTCTACCTTTAAAAATGCAAATTAATCTCAAGTTTATTACAGCCAGTCACTTCAATGAATGTTTTAGAGACTGAGCCTCATAAATTCAAGCTGCAGTTTTGTTGCCGTAAACACCAAACTAAGGCCAATGAATGCTGAGATGCAAGAAGACCTGAGTTCACTTGCAATATCAAGATTATTGCTATGGTCTAAGCTTATTACAATGAACTACTAGGGGAACTAGTTGAATGTTTTGTTTTGTGATGCTCATTATAATACAATTTCTTGCATCAGAGTATCAAAGAAACATCTAGTTCATTATAAAAAAATAACTTATAGGGCTCTTTTGGTTCCTACTTCACCATGATCAATGTTTAAATAGTATTTAAAAAAAAAGTAAAGAAATTTTACAAGGCAAAAGGAATACAAGCTAAATTTGTATTAAGCAATATTGGGAAAAGCAAGGCAAGGGAGTGATTGCAGCCAGGCCAATGTGTAGTGTGTGTGTCAAAACAGACTAACAGTGCAAAAAGTTGGCTCTTGTTACTGTTCTAAATTGAAGATTATCATTAGAAAGATTTTTTGACAGAGAATTAATTATCAAATGTACTTACGGTATTCTGTGGCTTCATGTATTACTGAAGCAACCGTAGCTGCTGAGCTTGGTATCCGCAGTTGAGGCGCATTGTAACCTTTTGCGATGCTTTGACAAAACCTCTTTCTTTGACACAATTCTCTATATAGTAGTAAGCAACCTTTGCTTTTTTCTAGCTAGGCTGGCAGACTCTGGAAGATATTTTAGTAATTCTTCTTTTTTGTAACTAGAAGACTACATACCTTATGTGTAGAAAGAGCCTGGGACACAAACATCTCTGTCAAAGTCAATATTTAGGAGTGGTAACTGCTGTCCTAGTACAGAAGTTATCCTATCATTCCTGATAGGGAGTGTGGCGTATGTGCAAAATATCAGTCTTAATTTGATAACAATTTGCCATAATGCCACAGGCAGTAACACAAATTGAATGTTCAGATATATGTGTTCCTATAGGAATTCCTCTACTAAAATGGAGTAAAATGCAAAACACTGAATGATTGTATGCTTTTGATCTCTGAAGGATAGTGTCAAGATTTTCATGGTATGTAGTAGTGAGGAGATACTACTAATACTTCTGCAACATGTAGTTATTTGTGAAGTGTTTGATCTAACATCTTGCTTATATGGTGCACGTTCAGCTCGTCGTCTACAGCTCAGTCCATGGGAGAGCAGCATTGTAACCAGGCTTCTGACGCCCACTCACTCATTCCTGGCCCGAAGTAAAAGCACAGCTGCATTGTCTGGAGATGCAGGTAAACCTTTAAGAACAGAAGCTTCGTGTCTCAGCCACTTATTTTTCCAGATTCCCTGTGGGATGTTGTAAAGTTACTGATTTAGTTATGAGTGTACGGTAGCATCCCAGAATTAGCTTGAATGTCCATAATTACGTTGCGTGACAGCATGAAAGCTTGTTTGTACACTTGTTTACTATGCCTCTTTCTCCCACTACCTCTTTCTTAATTTCTTTTGCCTTGTCATCAATGCAATAAATGAATACAACACACACAGGGCAACAACGTCATGCTGTCCGTGGCTGTTTAAGGAAATGCCTACAATGCTGTAAGGAGCTGATTCAGCACACCCACTGCTAAGACTGTGAGCTGCTTGCTGCAAAAAGTGGTTTCACTCTGGACCAGGGCACTTCCCACATGGAACACGTTAGACTTGCAGAAAGATAGGCCCTGGTTGCAGTGGATTTAATAGCACATGAAGTTAAATGTGCAGGTTTAGTGAGGTTACAATAATTGTAAAGTTCTCTGCCAACCCTGGAAGAGCTCTCTGATGTACTACTGAAAATTAACATGCAGAAATGTGAAAATATTGCTAGGTGGTAACTTAAAGCCCAGGCAAAACTGTGTCCCAAAGACAACCAGGCCATACTTGCTTATCATCTGTTTTAGGCAGGTGACAGCTGCCTCTTCTTTTATCATAGGATGTTTTACGATCATGCACCGGGGACTTTACCGTTAAAATAGTATGTTGCTGCACATGCTGAATGTTTAAGTGTAGGCAGGTCTTTCCTATCTGATACAGACAGGATTTTTATTCTAATTAAAGGATGTAGAAGGTAAGAAGGAATAGAGATCTGCTAAGATTACTTTTAAAGAAGCTTTCACTTAAGAACTCTTATAACTAATTGGGCTGCAGTACATTTCCACAAGGGTAGCGCTGTAGGAGCAAAAAAGGTGGATGATATTCTGCAAACAGTGGAATTAACAAGTACAAAATTCCTTTTCACTCTTCACAAACAACAGCTTGTAAAATGAATACTTAACGTCATCTACCAAGCAGGATATTGGAAATCAGCTCTTCATTAGGGAATAGTTGAGAAAGCAGTGACTTAATTTTGTAAGTGGTTACTTTACTGGAGCAAGCATGAAGATTTTTTTTTTTTGTGACTGCTATTGTTTATGCTGCGCCATAAGCTCTAAACTGAGTGGAATGTTGAGAAAGATTGCAAATAGAAGGAAGACCTTTTTGTCAGTCATCAGTCTGAGGTAATTCCGCTGAAATGCCTTCCCTATGCTAGCTGGAACTGTACCACCCAGAAGAATAATCCATCTGCTCATTGTTTTCCAGGTATTATTTTCTAGGAGCAATAACTGCAGTCCCTTCATGCAGGACACTTCCTGGAGATTAATGATCAGGTGGTGATAATGGCTCACAGCTGTGCTCTGAGCACTCAGCTCACCCCAGCCTGTCATTATTCCCTAGAAAATTACCCTGCCCTTTGGCTGTGAAGATAAATTACAATGCAAAAAATCAAAATCAAATTAAATATGGATTCATGTCCTTAAATTTTAAGTGAGCTATTAGGGACATCCAGCATAAAAGTATGTCTGGATCTTTTTAAATAACCCTCAAAAACCAAAATGTGTTTTTAAATAACTCTCCAAAAGCTGATCTGAATAGATGTAATCCTGTTGGTACAGGATTCACTGGAATTGCTTCCTAAAGCATTGTTTGGCAACATTGCAAATGAAAATTAACTGCTTGTCTTTTAATACTTATGATGTCATCCTTGGTGGTAACTTCAGATAATCAGCGTGCGGCAAGAGAATTGATTCACAAAGGGCGGGAACTACATAAATTATAAGCTGTTTAAAACATACGTTGTGCCCCTGCTTCCTATCTGGTTTAGATATACTCAACTGAAAAAAAAAACAAAACCCACGAACAAAAACCCGTTTTCTTGTTTCTTGATTTTTTTTTTTTTTTTGTCAGTCATAATACCTCATTAAACATAAATCTCTGTAAATGATAAGGCAAGAATGAGTGCCCTTGCTGTGACACTAACATGAGACTCTCTTTATTCATGATGTTAATCTCTCAGTGCAGGAGAATTTGCAGTGTTAGTACTGTTAAGTCTCTGAGCTCTTCCTGTAACAGCAGCTGTAATGTTGTAAGACTGGAAGAATTAACTGTATGTAGAATTGCATTCTTTCAAGTGTGCTCAGAAAGGGACCTACAGGCAAAAAATGTTGGGTTTGTTTACCAAGGAAACTGAGGATGTAATTCTCTTTTCCTTAAAAAAAAAAAAAGGGATAGGGAAGATACCATATAGAAGCTCTACTTTTCCTTCAAGTAACATACTGAATATAATTATGCTAAGACTCTATTAAATGACCAGGAAAGACAAAAAGGAGCAGACAAATAAAACTCTGCAGTAATAACAGTTTTTCCCAGTCATCTTCAGTTAAATCAGGAGAAAGTCCAAGAATACTTTGTTGCAGAAAGTTCCCCATGATATGTTTTGCAGTGTTACAATTGTCTTTGAACATGTAATCAGAACACCGTATACTTGATAACCTGCCATTGGCAGGAGATCTGGTAATAGTCTTTGTCCTTGTGCAAACCAGGGAAAACTTCTGGTTACTTGTTCAAATATTAATTTCCAAGTTCATTTGTTGCTCTTAGCCTGCTTTTTTTAATGTGTAAAATAGTTCGCTGTTGAGAACGTATTTGATTCAGTTGTTATTCTAGCATTATCAAGAAATATGAAAAGTTCTTAGGTGGCTGGGCTTCAAATATTCCTAAAAGAGGGATTTTTAAAAACATGTCGCATGCTAAAAATTATAGGCAGCAATAGAGGAAATGTGTTGTTAATGTTTTGATCTGTATGTGTATGTGTCCTTTTATTTTCCTCCACTTCCAAGACCAATTAATAGGCATTCTGATTTTTAGTTTGATTGTTTTCTATTCCGAATGTAATTGAAACTCACGTCAATGCATATACTAAGCTAGTCAGTCAGACCAGTCATTGTGTCCACTGCTTTTTCAGAACCACCAGTTGTATAAAAACTTAACAGAAAAACATTGTTACTTTCTACTACCCAGTTATTTGGCATACTTCTTAATTTATTTAAATGAAATTATTAGTTTACAAGTGGAAAAGTACATGAGTGCCTATTGAATTGTATCATTACTCTATGTGTGACCAAGCTAGTGTATTACATGATGGTTCTGACCTGAGAATTAGTTGTTCGTCTGTGTATTAATACCTTCTTTCTTTTCTGCTTTCTCGGTTGTTTCTGTTCCTGCTGGCTTTCCTCTGTCAATTCTCCAATGCTGCTCTATAATTAAAATTAATAAATAACAAAACCAACCAACACCGTAGTTATCCCCGTTTGTCCCCGTTCAGCATCTTGCAGTCCCATCAGTCCTCTGTCCTACAAGACCATGAACTGTAGGAATCCAGGAGACCGAGCAAAACTGTATGCCTCTACTGATGCTGTTGGACGTAGGAGAACAACACATCTTGCAGGGGTAAGTGTGCCAGTTGTACATAAGCTAGTGTCTTGTGCTATGACCACCTGATTGCACTGCTTGTTAGAACAGGAATAGTTGCAAGGATACTTGACTAAAGCTGATCCTCCCCTCTGCATTGTCTCCACCCCCTCCAATTTGTTTCATAGTTGGCTGGATTTTAACTGCAATATACTACATTATGTGGTGACGTAGCCTGATTATGCACCAAAGAATCCATGTGGAAAAACACCCATGTTTGCAGAGTGGCTGCCTTGGCTTCTCACAAGGCACAGAGGCAGGCAGAGTGTGTGCCCTTTTCTCAAGTGGATTCTTTGCTGCCTTTTAACGCCCAAGCTGGTGTTGCAGCTTTTCCCTCAGTAGGGAATCTTTTTTCTCAACAACCTGTTTTCACAGAGCCTGTAGAACTTCATATCTTCTGAGGCCTTCAGCAAATTCAGCTGAGCCCCTGGGATAAAGAGGGGGGAAAGCATGCACTCACACATGTCCATATACATAAGCACACAGAGCACTGTCACTTCAGCTTTGCTTTCTTAGGAGACCAGGCTAGTAAACTTTTCCTCATTGAAAAGGAAGAGGTTGTTTTAGGAGCATGGTTTGTAAGCGAGGCTTCCCACAGGTCACCTGCTCATTCTGAATGATTTGGTAGCAGTACTGTGACTGATCTGAGCTTTCAGGGAAAATCATAACAGTGTGATACAGGCAGACTGAATTCATGTTGACTGTACTCCAAGCCAATGGGATGCAGTCAGCTCCAGTTCAGATATCATTTGCTGAACCTGAGCAGTTATATTTTTCCTTGTACTCTACAGCCTGAGTTTGTTTAGTGTGAGAAAAGTGACATTATCTCTGCAAATGATTGTGTAAGGGGTGCTTGCATTTTCATTTGGCCTGATGGGCAAAATATCAAGAGGCAGTGCTGCTGTTGACATCCTTCTTGGAAGCAGTGTTAATGAAAGTCACATGAGTCATAGCCAGTACTTAATCTTTCCGGCAGATGGTCATAGACTGAAGTTTAAGTTAAGGTGCAGCATTGGGATGTATCTGTATAGAAATCTCATAATATGTGCATAGTGCCTTGTAATCTCCAGGGCTATCAGTTTAGCACCTCCTGGGTCTTTCTCATTGTGAGTATTTTGGGGTTTGGTTTTGGAGTTTTTGTTGTTGGTGGTGTTGTGTTTTGTTTTGTTTTTTCTAATTCAAAAGAAGAAAGGTTGATACATTTTGGTGGAGGAGACAATATAAAAATGTTGTTAATACAAAATGACTGCATTAAGCATTGTATGGTGTGGAGAATCTAATTCTTCTGTAAACTTTTGTAGGAATTCAGTTTTTTACTTTACTGGTATTAAGAACAGTTTTCTGATGCTCTGTTTTCAGACTAATGAAGTAGATACAGTATGGAGAGTTATTGCTAGGAGCCAAAATTCTTCTTCATTGTAATGCATTTATTCTGGCTGTGTATGCTTTGATAACTCAGGTGATTATCATATTAATCAGTAGATATCTAGTAAATTATACTGCCAAAGAGCTGGCTAATTACTCTTGAATAATGACTTCAGGATCGAGACCATCTATTGCTAATATTAAGTTATGTAATTTTAACCATAATGACCCAAAAAACCCCTCTTGGATTTATGAAGATAAACCAAGGGTTTATGTGCTCATGAAGTTGTTTTCAGTTTTTATTTTCCAGTTGTTAACCTGGTTTTCAGTTCAGGAGGTAAGCATTGCAGAGCTCTCAGCTAGAGAGGTTCTAAAACAGCATGGTACACATGCTGCAGGGCTGGTGCTTAAGCCCCAGCCAAGGTGGTGAGTAGCAGCCCATCTGCATCATGTTGGCTGAGTGGCAGCTCAATATACTCTCCAGTATTCCCATTCTTCATACTCCTAGAGTCTGAGCTCATTATTCCAAAAACCTGAAGTTTTTCATCTGTAGCTAAATGGAGGAAGTGTATATAGATGCCTGAATTCTGATATATTCCTTTAAATTAATAGTGCTATTAATACAAACAAGAGCTATAACAGAAATACTTTAAAAAATAAAATCCTGAGATGAGAAATAAAGAAGGAAAAAGAGGAAATTGCTACCATGTGTAAGAATCAATGGCAAAAAAGTATGTGCTGTGGAATCATCCAAGAAAAGAAGAATAGGATAACTGTTGTACCACATTTGAGGGCTTCGAGGGCATCTGTGGTGTTCACATAAAAGCATGAAAGCAAAAAGTTTGTGCTGTATATGGACTGTGACTAAGTGTGAGCCTAGAGGAGTGGGGGGGCAAGGCGGGGGAGCGTTTTTCACTTTCTTCAAATGAAATCCAGGATTTATGGGTAGTAGTGGAAGGTACTATTGGCAATACAATCAGCAAAGATCAAACCTTTTTTGCCTGTGTAAAAATAAGCCTCTGCAAATTAGCCCATTATGTCTTAAGACAGTAGAGAGCATGATTAAGAAGGATTCTTGTTGTCAAATGCGTATTTACTGACAAAGATGGTGGCAGATTACAGGAGCTATATTAATGAACTTGTTAAACAGGCTGTAGAAACTACTGACTCAGCACTGCTTTTTTTCAGCCTCCCAACCCCTCATCCTTAACTGAGCTTGCTTTGCTTTCTTTAGCCGTGTGAACTCTGGCTTGACTTTGTCTTTTTGTTTGCTGAACTATAGACTGACAAAAAAGAAAAGGAGAGAGACCATTTGTCATCCAGCTTCTCAGCCAGCTTTAAAGGAGGTCATTTTTCTTCCAACCCCAAAGCTAGATCACCAGCTCCCTCTCCAGTTTGGTAAGCCAAGTACACGCTTAGCTGGAGGTTGAGCTACAGGTAGCTCTGATTGTTCTATTAATTAAATGTGAAACAGTGCAAACTTATTTGGTGATGTAGATGTTTTCCCTCTGCAACAAAGGAAAGACAGTCCTGCTTTTAGAAAAATATTACTACTGCTTTGAGGAAGGGGAAGAAGGAGGAAGTTACCTGGTTTCTTCCCTCTTGACTGGGCTCAGTGCTCCCACATCTGGAGAGTTGCAAAGAGAAGCATTTTTCATGAAAGCTAATAGGTTGATAGCAGAGCAATAGAGAAGTTTTATGTTTAGCTATTGTAGTTGTAGAGGTGATATGTAGGTGGTATCCAGCAGAACATGTCTGATAGTGATTGTCACTCTTTGTGGTTACACAGGCATGCGTCAAAGTCTTTGCCTTTTTTGCCTGGCACACCCAAGCAGATAACTTCTCCACCTGGTTCCTCCAAAGTTTCCTCTGCTCAGGCACGTCCTCCTTCTCCTGGCAACATCCGGCCAGTCAAAAAAGAGGTCAAACCAGAGAGTAAGAAGAAAAGACCAGAAAAGGAGGCTGAAAAGGCCAATGAGGAGAGGACACAAGAGAATAAAGGAACTTCAGCAGGTACTGGAGAATCTGCAAGTCAGGAAGAGCTTGCTGTCCAGACAGAGCTCACTCAAGGTAAGGAGAGATCCTCCTTTAGGTTAAGGAATGTCTGAGAGTCTCTTATGTTCTTCCCTCCCTTTCTCTGAAACAACATAGCTTTCAGTAGTTTTCTATCTAAATTCTTCAGAACGTTCCTGCAGATGCATGTTTGTTGAGAAAAGCGTACACAGGTTGAAGCCCTCCTGCTTGTAACAGTCAAAACAACTTTCAGACCTGCCTCGCACAGTGTGGCTTCACAGCCCGCTTCTCTGCCCTTCTGGACCATGATTTTGTCGCTCACATCATGACGCAGCTTCTTTTCATACTGTTGAAGTAGTATTATAATGATCTGAAGACTAATGGTATAGGAAGCCATCACATAAGGTAGTGTGAGCAGTGAGAATGTCTAGCTGTCCTAGACACTCAGTACAGTTGTGCTGATAACACTATCAGCTTACCTATAATATTGCAAGAGTACCGTATTGTGGGAGAGATTAGCAAGATAAAGTAGAATGCAGAGGAGAACCAAGGAGAAGAGTAAAGAGGAATATGCAGAATTTTTCAGGGAAAATGAGTTATTTGTAAAAAAAAAAAAAAAATTACCCAACAAACAAAAAAACCCCACACCAAACCACAGCAATTCTGAAAAGCAGCAAGGCAGAAAAGGATGTACACACAAAATAAAATAATGATCAGAAAGTGTAGGAAGGACAAAAGGTAAATCTGAAAATGAAAAATGTAGGTTTGTTCCAGCAGACATTTTAGTCCATTGTAAATATGGCATAAGCTGTCTTTCTCGTGGATAGGATAGAACAGCCATTGTGACCACTGGGATTCACAGGACTGGTTACTTAGGATTCTGAATTTAAAATTCATAGATTCCCCTGTGATTGTCCTTCAAAAACACTTTTAAGTATTAATAATCCTGCATTTTAACTGCAGGATGTGTAGTTGGGGGTTGTTCTGTGAGAAGATCTGATGTGAATTGATTTCTTTTGTTAATAAGTTCTGTTACGGTAGTTCCAGTCTGATACCCATACACAAGGTGCAACCCCACAAAAAGCTAGAGATCTACAATAATAAATGGATGCATCTGTTGTCCATGGCCATGTAAAGAAGATATAATTGCCATGTTAGCATGGGCTTTCACTGCTACTCTTATAACCTTTTGCCTGTTTCCTTTTGAGGAGAAAGCTTCCTTTTAAAAGGATTTTAGGGATACCACTGAAATAACTTTGCAAATGTTTACAAGCTGTAGTTCCCCAGTGAAAGGTGCAGACCAGAGAAACGTTGGCATGCTTGTTTGACAGTTTAGCTCAGGAGGAAGAGAGACTCAACTTCTTTGCAGAGTCAGTCAATATTTGAGTTTGTGACAAGGTCACTTAGTATGGAAACAGGTTATGTGTGATAAAGATATTCAAAAGTGAAGTAGTTTGTATTCACAGCAGAGAAACAAGTAGTAGAGAGGGGCAAAAGAGAAGGATACTATAGTCAAAGTGGTGAACAGCACTTCAGATTGGATGGCTTTTGCCAAAGCCAGAGGAAGTGATGGTTGGGGCCAAAGACTGAGACCTCAGGCTAAGCATTTTACATGTGAGGTTAGAGGACAGGCTTTGTACTGCAGATGGAGGCCCAAACTGCCAAAACTTGGCCACTGGTTGAATGCAAGAATCTAGAGAGGGGCAAGGGCAAGTGCAGCATTTGGAGCTAGAGGGACATTGCTGATGTCTCCTAGGTCTGTGTTGCAGGTGAACATAGCTGGTTTCTGCCAGTTATCTGAACTGTCCTTTAATCTGTCTGTGTAGCCACAGGAGCCAGGAGGTCAGCAGGTAGTAATCACTGATGGAGCTATTCAAGCTTTTGCAGGCAAATCTCACATGACTTTACTAATACCAATGAAGTTTTAAAATTATTTTGGGTGTGCCTGTGCAAGCTGTTGTCATCCCTTCTAACAGCGGGGCCGGTGTGCATTAAACAGGCTACTTGCTACGCTGCCAGCTTCGGCACCCGAGGCAGGAAGTGAGCCCCAAGCAGCACAAAGCTGTGGTCCCTTTGGGAGTGACAGACCTCCCTTGGTCCGTGTTAGTAAATTAAAAAAGGCCGAGGTGGAGGAACTCCAATTTATACTGTTTGACTATTACAAAGGCTCTCTGGTGTGTTTCTGGTCCACGTTGTAATTGCAGCCTCACATTTTCTTACCCTCTGTCCCCAACGCTACTAAGAGCATAAAGGGCTCCCAAGCTTTAGAGTGATCAACCTACTTATCTTTTTATATTTGACCATCCCAGAATTTTCTGAGTTCCCAGCTACATCTTGGAGGTTAGCCCAGGCCTGGACTGTTCCCTGGGAGTGGACTGAATACCTGTTTTGGTAATGTGAGAGAACAGTGCTCTGGCTGAGGCTAAACTGTGCCAGCTCACCTCAGGGCTAGAGAACAGGCCCTGGCACTCTTTAAATTACTGGTGTCATGTATCATTTGAATTCAAGGTGAAAGCCCTGAAGGCAGTTATAGAAAGACCTGCATAGTTTTTACTTCATAGAAGAAGAGAGCAGAGAGGTCAGCAGATACAAGCATTCAGCACAGAGAAAGCAGCTGAATTTGTGTTTGTATACATGACGAGGTATAGGAGGGGGTAATCGGGGGGGAAACCCCTCTTGGAAGTTGTTAGTAAGGTGAGGAAAATGCTGTAAGGTCCCAAACAGTGGTTAGAAATGTATATTTAAAATCATCGCCTGGCTGTTCCTGGTGACTTATTTTACATGTATCTTCCCAGGATCAGAATCTGATTCCATTGACAGTTCAAAGTCTTCCCTATCCATGTTGGTCTGCGTTATCAGATGCAATTACCCTGGGAATGCTTCCTTCAGTTAGCTTGTTTGTTGGTAATGGTCCCTGGCCTCTGGCGAAGAAGTGCAGTTGAGGTGCTCTGTATCTGTGCTAGAGAATGCCAGGCAAGCTTCCGGAAATGTGAACCAGTGTTTTACTTGTGGAAAAACCTGTAACACCCTCTCTAGCAAGTAGACAAAGCTGGGTAAACAATTTATCTGAAGGCACTGCAAAAGTTTGAACACAAGCCATAGATCACCAATAGTGGCAAAGCCTGTTAAGAAGCTGTGTTCTGGTTCCACAAGTTGCCTCAGGTTGGAGTAACTGCAAAATTGATGATGGTTTGTGTCCTACCCTTATTGCAAATTACTTCAGACAGTTGATGTGTGAGATCACCAAGTCACCCAAAGTGATTGGCCTATCACCAAAAAATCTGGCTCTGCTCTTCAGATGTAGACGATCAGACAGAAGAAGATATAGTACCACAATGTTTCATTTCTGTTCTCTGAGTTGGGCAAGCTTAAGAAATGTGATGGTAGGGACTTGCTGAATCAGCATAACTCCTGTTGAGCACCCGTCAGCATTTATTCTTCTGACAGAAAAGATGGTTTAACCTTTCAACTGCAGCTGCTTTCACATATCTTGTAAAAACAAACTTCCCTTCAGGAATATGAACCTCTAGCACCTAGAAGTTTCTTCCTCCTCTGAATCATTTATAAAACCATGTAAGCTTGAAAATATTTTGCAGAGTATTTGAAACTATTTTCTGTTTGTTTCAAGAGTGTCTTCTTGGCTACTGTGTCTGTACAAACTAGTTTTCCTTCCCATCTGTTTCAGCAGCCAGCCCATCCCTACCTCCTGCTCCACCAGCTCTTTCTCCACCCCCAGCCCCCACAAAGACCTCTGCAGGTACAACTGACCCTGAAGAAGCAACAAGGCTACTGACTGAGAAGAGGCGCCTTGCCCGTGAGCAGCGGGAACGGGAGGAGCAAGAAAGGAGGGAGAGAGAAGAGCTTGAAAGGTGATTCTAGACCTCTGCAGTGGACAAGATATGTTTTTAGCAGCCTCCTAGTAGCTTCTTTTGTATATTCTGTTGTTATATTGTGATATATGAAGCACAGTACTGAAGTGCAGCAGGCACGAGTTCCTCCCCGAAAACTAATTTTCCTGTTGGAGTTTTTTGTAGGTGCAATATGTACCTAAGCAGAAAGCTTAAAACTTACCCCAAATAGCACTTTAAAATAGGATGGGAGGAAAGAGCAGATCCTTGCTGTAGTGATTCATTTTTTCCTCAGAGATTAACAAAGCTATACTCGTTTATTCCAGCTAGGCAACTCTGCACAGCTGTTTTCAACTTTGTGATTGGGACAATGTCTCTTACTTTGAATTGTAAGATCTCTACCATGGGTGGTGTTTAGGTGACCAACAACTGTGACTTAAAGCTCTCTATTTTCTCATTTAAAATCAAGACCCCCAACAGTTCTGGAGGGTAATTGATGCTGCGTCTTGTTTTCTACTAGAAAATGAGTAGCCCATCTGGATACTTATGACTGTGGCTATAACTGAAGTTGAGCACGTTTTTAGAGGGATGCCACGCCTCTGGAATTTGTTGGAATTCTTTAACAACATTGCTGAACATAGGAACAAGGCAGAGCCAGTTAAAATAGCCTGGCTTTCCAAAAGGCTCACAACATGGTCTGTCTTAAAAGGGTTTTAAAGAAAATAAACTGCTGTGGCATCAGAGTAATGTGGTGAAAAAATACTAAGACTGAAAGATTGAAAACAAAAAGTAAAGAATAACCAGCTTTCACAGTGAAAGGAGTTTTCAGTCTCTGTTCAGTGCCTTCGTAAATGAACTTGAAAGGAGTTGTGGCCAGTGAGATAACGCTGGTCTTCAGTGAGATAAAGCAGTTGTGAAGAGTTTCAGATGTATCTTGCATTGCTGAGATACAAAATGGAAGCTGAATTGCAATACTGCTAAACATAAAGGAATGTGTATAAGGAAATAATCCTAACTTAACTCATGTGGTGGTGGTATCTGGGCTAATTATTTCTGAGGGAAGAGATCTGGTTTGGAGTTGAGTATATGAAAGTATCAAGTGAGTCATGGTCAACAAAATAATTGAACTGTCACCAGTTACTGGAAAAGGAGAACAAAATGAAAATGTCATTCTGAACTATCCAAGGTGAATCCACTTCTTGAATGTTGAGTTTTATATTTTTTGAGATAGTAAATTCAGTAAAACTATGAAAACAAGTGCAGACAGACATCAAGGAAGATCACAAGTATAGAACAGGTCCCATAAGAAAATCTACTAAGCAGGTGACAATTCTTCAGCTGGAAAGACCATCTGCCCTCTACTTCTGAGTGGGCATATGATAAGCTACAAAGTCCTAAATAATTTGGGTAACATCAAAGGTGAAGGGGAAAAGCTATTCACTCCCATAATACAAGGATGAGGGGGCATTAAGTGAGGTTAGGAGGGTAACGTTCAAAAATCAGCAGAATTAGATGCTGTTTTTAAATTCAGGAGTCATTGCTGCAACGTAAGGTGGGTGCTGAAAATGTATACTATTTCAAAATATGATCAAATGAAATTACAGAAATAAGTGTTTTGTAAGATGCGTTAAAGTCAATGATACTGTTTCTGATTCGGAAAGTACTCGAGTCATAGATGAGTGGAAGCCAGGCGTATGCTGGAGAAGTATTGGTATTGCCTTGCAAAGATTTTGTATTCCGTAAGGCTTCACCTTTGGCCCCTGCTGAAAGCAGAACAGACAACTTGGCTCGACCCAGTTCAGGTGTTTTGATGCTCTTATGAATGAGAGAGCAGTGCAACCTTTATCCAGGTGTTCTGCAGTGCTGGTGTCTTGGGTCAGGAATCTAGTGGTTTGGGTTTTTTCCCTTCTTTTACTTACTTTTCTTATGCTTGTTTCATGATTGCAGGCAAAAGAAGGAGGAGCTGTCGCAGAAGATAGCTGAAGAAAGAGCTCGCCGAGAAGAAGCAGCAGCTCGCAGACAGGAAGCAGAAAAAAACCAAAAGGATGCAGAGGAGGAGCGGGAAAAGGAAGAACGGCTGCACCGACAGGCAGAAGAGAGACAACAGAAGGAGAAAGAAGAGATGGAGCGCATTCAGAAACAAGTATGCTCCCATCCTGGAATTCTTGTGCCAGTCTGGTTGGCAGCAAAGTGGATGAAGCAAAACCTCTTACACAGCATCTAGATTAGAGGGATATCTAAATTTTAAATGCTATATATAAAGTGAATAGGGTTCTGGCAGAGTTTATTCCATAGAGTGGTTCAAAGAGTAAAGATATTTCTTCTTGACAAAAACATGTGGCAGGGAGTTGAGTTTTGTTTTGGTTTTTTTTTCTCCTGTAGAATTTATTTATTTAGAACAAATCCTTTCCTATTCCTGATAAATTGTGATGAAAAAAATCAAGAGAGTTGTATTGGGGGATTTTAATGAATGGTGTTATACCAGAGAACTTTGTCCCCACAGTTATAGAAAGTCTAGATGCCAAGATAACTAACTATTCTGAGTGTTGGAGACATAGCACTGCTGAGTTCTAATCCTATGCCCAATACCACTTTTGTGTGGGGCTAGTGGGAAGGGGTAGGTTTTGATTGGTTTAATCAAGCCAAGGAGAACCTTTACCTAGTGCAGTCCTCCTGAAATGAGAGCAGCTACTCAAAAGACATAAGAGTAAATAAATCAAAATACGATTTTTCAAGTGCTCTCATTTTTGATGGGCATAATGTTGGTTTCTGGCTTCAGGAGAGGCTGTGGTAAGCATTTTGGATAGGATTCTTCTCTTCTCGCACATGCTCTTACTTTGTGCATGCGCTTTCTTGCCCCCAAAATTCAGCACTTCAATCTGCCTCATAGACATTAGTTTTTTATTCTGGTATATAATTAAATGCATGCTTCTGAGAATAAATGTTTAAAGGATGGTGTTAATAAATATAGCTTGGAAACTGCAGTTTTCTTTTTCAGAAGATGTATGCTGCTTTCTTTGAAATCCTAAACTGAGGTACATCCCCAGTTTAGCACTCGGAGATAATGTATGGCCAAGTTTTTTTGGATGTTACAGCCTTAACAAATGAACTGCTGTAGTAGTTCCATCATACAACACTGTCACTGTCAGGGAGCAAGCCCTCTTTTTAATCTAAAAAGCAGGAATGGGAAGCTTGTGCAAATGTACCTGTGCTTGTTTGTCCTTGGTCTCATTAACTGATGACTCTGTTGGCCAAATAAAACATTCTACTGCTTTTGTTTGACTCTCAGAAACATCCACCACTCAAAACATGGATCTCTTGAATACTTTTGTGGCTGCTGTTTTAATGCTGAAGGTTAGGAAACGTATTCTTCATTTGTCATCTGGTGTGTTTTCATGCACATGCCCCAGAAAAGGCACAGAACCAAATACGATGTCCATTGTTTAATTACGCATCTCTTAATGCTATGCAAAACATGGAGATTAATCAAGAAACGTGCAATTCAGTCTGAAAAGATTGTTGGTGACTTGTAAACCCCCGAAGTGTCTCTTCAGGGTGTTGTAGATATGCATAGTTAAGCAGATATCGGTGTAAATCTGTCCTTAAATAGTAAATTATTCCTCACTTCTTTTTCTTTTACCATCAACTCAGAAAGAAGAGGAAGCTCGTCTACGGGAAGAGGCAGAGCGGATTCGATTAGAACGTGAAAAGCATTTCCAAAGAGAAGAGCAAGAGCGCTTGGAAAGGAAGAAGGTAACTCAGTACATGCAGAGAAACTGTAATTCATTTTGCCTTAGCAGTTTGCTTCCACCTCAGCTGTAGAAAGTTACCCATGATATAAATATGCCCTCAGAAAAGCTGCAGTCCTCATCTGCATAGCCTGATATGAAAGTGAAGGGAATATGGCCACAGTAATAAAAAATTCATCTTTTTGCAATAAACAGATGCAACTGATAAATGACAAGCATTTGTGGTTTGGGAGAGATATTTGTAAATTAATGCCAGCAAACATTATTTTACCCCTTTACATTTCATTGTAGAGGCTTGAGGAGATCATGAAGAGAACTAGGCGTGTAGAAGCTGTAGATAAGGTCAGTGCTGCTACTTAACATGTGTAAATATTGGGCATGTTTCACTTCTTTAGTGCCATTTTTAATTTACAAACCTGTCCTTCCTTTGTAGAAACCCAATGACCAGCAAAATGGACATATAGCAAAGGCAAATATTACTGGAGAAGCAGGTATTGTGTTTAACTGTGCCCTGAGCACAACTGGTGAATAGATGCCTACTAAGCACAATGATTTGAGATACAGTTCTGAAACTTGGCACACTAATTGCAGTAAAGAAAACCATGAGAGGAGCATAACTGAAGTCTTAGCAAACATTATTTATTTAGCCTTTCCTTATAGGTAGTTAGCCATTACTAAATGAGTCAGCTGTTTTAGCAACTTTGTCACATTGGTGTTTAACGAGAGGGAGTTGCTCACTAAGTTTAGTTATTTATGAAGTGAAAAGAAACAAATTCTTTTCTGACTCTGATCACAAAAGAAACTGATTCTGTATTTTCTTTTGCATAGTATTGCAAATGTGGTTGTTGCAGACTTACTCCATTTTCTTAAAGGGTTATTTTATCTCAGTCATCAAAACAAACTGTTCGTTATCCAAACATCTCCCTATGATTTCTCTCTTCCACACATGCTGCCTCATTCACTTGGTCTTAATTTCTATTTATTTCAAAATTCAGCTCCTAAAAAAGCTTAGAGTTTCCCTGTCACACCCACACTTTCAGTCTTCCCTTCTATTCTGTTCCCTCTATCTGGTTTTTTTCCTGGTCATTTTAGGTAGTTTTATATATTTTAATACTTAAAATGAAGGAAGCAAAATAAAATGTAGCTCATATTCAACAATCACCAAGTATGAATTAGCAGTATTTAAAGATACTGAAGTCAAGCTAGCAAATGGCTTATCCTATTGTAGCATAACACATTAAATGACATTAATCTTTATTTCTCTTTTGTGTTTGAGTTGAGTAACACAGAGGACAAATAACAGCACTGGCTGTGTGTACTGCTTTTTTTTTTTTTTTAATTTGTTTTTGATGTCTAAAGTGAATGCTATAATTAGCACTGCCAGGAAACCTTTTGACACAGATTTCATTATGTGTGTTTGGAAGTTATTTGTTAAGATATTATCTTAGAGGGGGGAAAAATGTTTGGCAACTGCTAATGCAGAATGCATCTGGGATGTCATCTTTTGCTGCCGGCACTGTTGAAGGTGCTATAAACCACTTAAATAATTCTTGAAACTATAAATGGCTCTATAGCCTGTGGCTAGTGCTTTCCTGTCCGAGGTAGAAGACAAGTAGTCAGTTTCCTAAGCCATATGAGAATTTGGCCTTCCATTTCGCCAGACCCAAGGGAAGGCTGCAGTCCTTGAGTGACTGGATAAAGAGAAAACTGCACTCACCTTCAGGGCTGCTCTACTGTTCGGCTTTGCTTTATCTAGATATGCTATTGAGTTAAAGGTATGAATGAATGGACATATTTCGGCTAACTTTAACTTTACATGTTATGCTCTAACAAACTTGTGACTATATACAAATGGTGATTTTTCTTTTTTTTCAGTCCTACTGTTTGGCAAAATATGAGGAGACCTTTGTGTGAATAGCCAAATCACACAATGAAACAAAATCCATCACCTTTTTGTCATTTGTTTAGTCTCTGCTTCAAAATAGGAGATAACTCTGCCTTTCCAAAGCAGAACAACTTTCTTCTGCTTTTCTCTTTTAAATGTTAAAGCCAATATATTTTCCTCTCGTTCCACTTCGGAGAAGCACTGAAACCTGTATTGCTAATATCTTTCGTGTAAAAACTTGCCAAAGATCAGACTAAGACATTCCGTGTAAAAGAATTCAGCCCAAGCATTTAAAGCCTAGCAAAACAAGAGCAGCTGAAGGAGGGTCTCCTCAGATGAGGTTTTGATGCATCCAAGCCTATGAATACTAAATTGTCCTTGTGATTATCTTAACAGATGCTAGTGTGGGTGGGGTGCAATTGCTTCCTTTTACTGAGCTGCATGTGAATTGGTGTGACTGTAGATACAATGCAGAAGAAGGCTGCAGTTGTACTTTAAAAGAACATCCCGAGGCAAGCCAATAAAATCTCTCATATGGTCTTTGGATGGGGAACAAGGATACTCCAATTTTATGTTGCTCTCTACAGCATTTTATAGTAGTGCTTTGGTACTTGTTGAAAGAAGTATCCTTCCCATGGAGATTTTTTCCTCTTGACTTCCTTTTGGGTTACAGTCAGTGATCAACATGGGAACCAAGAAATACCAGTGCATGGAATTGATGATGTCCCAGTTCTCCTATTCGATTCTCTATTGCTGCTTGAAAAGTGCCAGCATAATATTCTGTCAGATATCAGCCTATTTTGACCACTGGCTTATGTGTTAGAATTCTGTGCATCATTGTAAACTGTTTATTCTTGTCCGTAAAGCTATAGCTTTGAAATCTGTGGCATTTACTTTCAGACCTGAAACAGGGCTTGTGTGCCCAAAAACTTGACAAAGGAAGCAGAGTGGGGGAGGGAAGAGGTATGGGAATTCTGTTTTTTAAAACTGTAGCTTGCCTTGACTGTGCTGTCTTTTGTAGGAAATGTTTTATCCTAATCTGCCGGTAGATGATGTTGCTTGGTTTTATGAAAACCTGTTTTCTCTCTCTAGTCATAACAAGTCCTGCATCTCCCGTGGAACCTGCAGGAGGACCTCAGCTTCAGCATGCAACGCAATCTCCGCACAACGGGAAACCCATCACCTGCACGCGTGTGATTGTTTCACATCAACCCCTTGTGAATATGGACAGGTAAGAACATTGCTAAGTATTGGACGGTGTTTGGAGGATCAGGGTTACTAAAGTAAAAAATTATTTTCAGATCCATGTATTCATTAACTAAATAAGAGACAGCTGTTCAATCTGCCCTGTTTCCTGTTTATTTTTATCTTTTCCCGTGTAAAGAACTTTATCATCTTTCACTTAGCAGTAACCCATTTTTGCCAGCTGATAGGGAAGAATTTTGTAAAAATACAGCACGTTCTTTGCGGTGTTTGGAACAAGGTGGTGTTTGCCAGCAATTGTTACATAAATTGAAATTTAATGGAAAGAGCAATTTTTTTCTATTCCTTTCCGTGAATTAAGCTTCATAAAAACCATTCTGGATTTGCAGTGCTAGTTTTCTTGATTGGAATAATGAACGTTGTGCTTTCAGCCTAGATGTTTCGATTTCTGAACTGTTTGAAGTATTAGCAAGTTTTGCTTATTAAGCAGAAGTCCCTTATGTGAGATACAGAACTACTCATTTTGACTTTGCATTTTAAAAAAACCCTTTGTCCTCTATAAGGAGAATTTGGGGAGGCAGATATTTGACATTGGGAACTCTCTGTAGCCATGAAGCAAGTCACTCAGACTTTGAGAAATTGTTGAAATGCTTGAAACCTCGGTGTTGAACCGAATTAAATCTGTTATATAAGCATGAGCTGTCAGTTATTTCAATTTTAGTAATGCAGAAAGCCAAATAATCCCTTAGTCCTTTGATGTTTTATGCAGGTAGTGCCAGAATATGCATGGAAAAACTTGAATGTGGGAAGCCATCATGCAGTCTGTAATGGGTGGTATGCTTCAGGGTGTGATTGGCACTAATTGAAGGAGGAATTTGCCCTCTCTGGGTCCCTCTGTATGCCTGGGGGATCTTTGCCTGCTGTCATGCTGACAAGGATGCTCCTGCTGAGAGAAGTTCTGTCAGTGACACTGAGCACTGGGCTGCATGGGATGAGCTGCACAGAGCTGCCTCATAATTGTCTCAGGCAGCTATTAAATGTTAATCACTCCCAGCCTTATATGCACCTTGATGTTTGTAATATAAAATGTGCCACGCTAATGAATGCTGTCATGTAGCATTATAAGCCCTGTGGAAGGAACCACAGAATGGCCAAAGTGAAGAATGAATACATGAGATTGAAGGACAGCGACATAAGTAGGAAGCATGTATAAGGCTGTGGAAGGGCAAGCTGGTGTGCCAGGTTAGGGTGCGGCGGGACTCTGCGTTAGAGGTACACCCACACTGCCTGGGAAGGCAAAGGCTGAAGCGCTTGGTAGCATCCCGGTGTAAGCTTAGCCCAGGTAGCCTGGAAAAACCGTTGTAAGGAATACATAGCAGCACAGATCTTATCACATGGCAAAAACCACAGGTGCCAGCACCACTGCTACTGCATCTCATGCGCTGCGGTTGTCTGGCATCTAGATATACCTGATATTGTAGCGCACACAACAGCAACAGGTGTGAGCACCTCACTCCAGTCCCAAGAAAGGTTTGGCTTTTATCTGGAAAAGACTTGAGCATGTTTTAAGGGCAAGATAGCTCGGGTTTCTGACCAGAACTTAAAAAGGCTTTGCCTGCGGGACTTGTGGCATGTGCTTGTATGGGCGAGAGGAGGGAGTGAAGGAGAGGAGTCTTCCTAAGGCCTAGTGCAGCAGCCAGTCTCGTTCTTCTCCTACAGTGTAGGAAGCGTGGGAAGTCTCACTGGGCCTAGGACAGAAGAAGTGTAAGTGTCGGTGGGTCTGTTTTGTGCAGCGCTGGGGTCTAGCCTGAATGCCTGTTTTTGAACAGGACTGGTGGTTGGTGTTCAGTGACCAAATTCAGAATACCTGTATTTGGGGTCAGAATACCTGTAGTTGGAGTCACTCCCCAGACACTGCAGGTGCTCTGTCCCTTGCACCGGTAGCGTTGAAGGAGGGTGACTTGGAAAGCTACTAGAGGTATGTGAGGCTTAACAGGAAGTTGCCTGACTGCTTACTGTGCTGAACCTTCATGCCTGTTCCTTCCCGTCATGTCATCTATCCTGTGTCAGCTCTGTCGCTGGGATTCAGTTGGAAATAGCATGCTTGCTTCTGTGGTCATGAGTACAACGCAACTGAAAAAAATTAAAAGAATTCTGGTGGAGTGAAGGCAATTGATTTCGATACTTCACCATTCTCTGTTGCTGCTTTTGATCAGCAATGCAGATCTTGTTGTACTGGAACTTCAGTAGCTTTCCAAGACAACTGATCTTCATAAACGCTAATACAAAATGCTGTGATCTGCTGCATTATTTACCATGTATCTATTGTCAACAATTATTAGTTTTATTAATAAACATTTATTGCAGATGATAGATTGATGCAATCATCTATCCCGCCTCATAGTTTGTCAAAATTTTTATTGGTATTCCTACTCCTGTGTTTTAAACAAATGAACATTAATCAATTTTCCTTAGGCTTAAAGCTTCTTCACTTTGCATTGTGAAAGAAAAAAGCAGGTATATTTGCTTGTGAATTGAGTTGTTTTACCATGTTAGCATTCAAGGTTTTCAAATAGATCTTACATGAATTCTTGGTTCCTAGAAACAATTTCTTTTTTCATGGTGTCGGAGTTAAAATGACATGTCTGAACATGATTTTTGTGGTATGTAGTTTTACATACAGTTAGTGCTGCAAGGGTTCTGATTTTGCCACCTACGCTTGCTCTCTGAGTATCTTCTCCAGAAGTAAATTGGGTTAAACAATTTAATGCTCAAATGCTAATGAAGAATAGTGAATTATTATGGGGGGAGTGACCTTATCTGACCTATAAGTCTGTGGTGAGAAGACTCACCATTGAACTTAAATGAAGACATTTCTCATCCAGGTGTAGTACGATGGAAAGGGCAACACTAAACACATTTTAAAATGGAGCGTACCATGGATATCTTCCAGTTAGTAAAGTATCTAAAATTACCAAGAAAACTGGTAGTTCATGGATGCTACAATATTATTAATGGCATGTTAATCTGGCTAGATTCTGGGGTTTTGGTTGGGTTTTTTTTTTGAAACAGTCGTTTGAAAATAAGTTATAATGTTAAAGTATTTTCAAACTTTTTGTAAGTTATAAAAGATTCCAATAAGATTTTTTCCGGATTCTAATTTTTTCTTCCTTTACTGAACAGTAGAATCCTGGAAGAAACACAGTGATAGGAGTTGGATAACCAGTACAGCTGCCTAATCCATCTCCCACTTGCAGATTATTGCTTGTTCTCTGCTTTCCCGTTCTTTATCCAGGTTAGATCCTGTCTGCTACTTCTCAGAAGGTTATTTCAGTACAGTGGTTTATGTTGACATCATTTTCCTTATGATATTTATTCTTATCCTGTAATTCCCTTTTTTTTTTTTTTTTCCCTTCTCCCCTGTGCTGCTTTCTATAAATGCCTGCAATGGGCATCAGTGAGAGCAGTTCACCTCATCCATGTGTCTCCATCCCATATAAAGGGATCTGGGTCTGGGTAGATTAGATAACCAGTTTTTAGAAATATACAGTTAGACAAGGTGATTGCCTCAATATTTTGTCCCTGGAAAAGAATGTTACTGAGTTCAAATTCTTATGTAGTGTTCATTGCTCAGCCTGTAGGATAGCACACCTGAAACTTGCCTTAGCAGCACCTTCCCTTCTTTAGGCCTTGAACTCCTCATTGCTGGCTGATTTCAGTGCTGTTGTCTCAGTGGATTAAAAATAAACACTGCTTTATTTAAAACATCCAAAAGTCTGGGGTTCGTGATGTTAATAAATGAGATGACTGACATTGTCTTTCAGATCAGGAATAGCAGGTGCGGAAGCATTTTGGAGCATTCCAAAGGCCTGCAAATCAGTTTTGGGGTTTTTTTTTTCTTATTCAGTGTTGATTTCGGATGGGTGATCAGAAAGACAGACATACTGAATTCTGAAATTCTGGTCTTTTTTCTTTACTCTCTTCAAATTCTTCACATGTAGATTATGCCTACACAGAGCTTTGGCTAAAATTATCTACATCAGATGTAATTTTCAGTAGTTTTTAACTTTTTTGATGTTCCAGTTCCTTAAATTAGCTGCTTTTCTCTCAACTTCCTCTAGCCTATCTTGTTAATATTGATGTGTCCAGTTCAAAATGTGAAGCCGCACAGATGCTTTTGGGTTTTTTTTAGCTGCCATGAAGCTGTCCTTCAGATGCTTGCAAGACTGTTATGTTTGGAAATGCACTCTGAATAACTCTGGCAACTTTTTTTTTATTACATAGGTGTCTTGCTACAGGCACACTTATGGAATATGTTAAAATGCCAAAATTATCCATTTCTTAGAAACATACCTGCAATACCATATGCCTGAAAAGGGTATCTCCAGTGTTGTGCTGGACACTGAGACATCGCTAAGAATGTAACATAAGACAGTAAGAACAGCTGTAGCAGGTCAAAAATCCAGTACTTTTTTTGTGTTCTTTGCTTTAATGGCCTGTAGCAGTCACTTAGGGAGAGAGTGTAAAGGCAAAAAAGGTAAGTACCAGGAGATCCTCTGGTCAATGAAGGGTTACTAAGCATTGTGGTCCAAATGCAACCATAGGCTCAAGTAGTCCCTAAGCTGCTAATTACCAGAAGCTGGAGGGTATACCAATCTCCTAGGAATTTGTCTAATCTCCTTTTGAGCTTATGGCCTTTAAGATGTCCAGTGGAATTAATTCCACCATTCTGTTTTTCCCTTTGTTTGTTCTTAACTTGCTCCCCTAGTAATCTGGTGGAGCAAATAGCATGAAGTATAGAAGATTTTATAGCATAAAATATAGAAGATTCATACTCATAGTTTTCTCTTCTGTACCGCCTTTGTGATTGTATAGACTCCCCTGTCTGAACAGACATCTTTCAAGTCTGTCAATTCTGGTCTAACTCAGTATGTAATACTGGCAGTGCAATGACAAGTAAATATGAAGAACTATTTATCTATGAAGTCAGCTGATCAACCAGATAGAAACATTAATATCTGTTTGCAGAAGCAAGAGTTGTCTTCGTTGTACCAATGCTTGTTGAAGTACTGTGCTGTTTAATTTATATGAATGAGCAGTTGCTCTCTTCCCCCCTCTTTCTTACCCCATCCATCAAACTTGCTGTGTTATCCTAGCTCTGGTAAGGTTATTGGTAGATGGGAATGAAATAAATAATAGGATACCTTATAGTGAATAATAACCTCATAACTGTACATTATAGAGCGGGCTTTATTAGTCCTAAAGCATTTCACAGATTCTGCTCCTCATCTTACAGATGTGGATCTCTGGCACAAAAGGGTGATGTGACTTGCGACCTCTCCCAGGCACCCAGCAGGATTTCTGTGTCTGCTCTCAAACTCAGTGCAGTGAAACATACTTTTCACTTTGAAATTTGCTCAGCATATCCACAGATGAAAAACAGGGGAATGTCTTTCTAAAAAAGAACTGGTGATTGTTCGAAAAACTGGGAAAGGCTTGATATGAAAACCAGCATGTTGTTCTCACAGGAAATCTGGGCTTTGGGTAACGTGTTGCTACTTTCAGAAGAGCAATAATTATTTTTTGTCTCTTGGGAAGTACTGTAAAACAGTTCTGTAATTGTTTGTGAAGAGTTGGACACCCAAAGAAGCCAGCAAATGAAAATAAACCATATGCCAATTACAAGCAGGGTTGTTTTTGTTTTTAAGGCTAGTAAAGGCTAGTACTGTCAGGAGAAAATTAGCCTGTAAAACCAAGCTACGTGCTTAGAAATGGCCTGAGGAAATTGATAGCCTAGTTTAAATCTAGGAAAATTGCATCTGAGCCATTGCAGCTGAAGCATTTCCAAACAACCTGAACAGTTGTGATGTGGTCTGAATAGGGAATAGGTACCCCAGGTTGTCAGGATCGAACTGTTGAGGGCTTAAGCACCTGTGGAAGATCACACGGTTTTTGAGTGTCAGTTGAGTACTTGCTCTTTCTCGAGGAGCTTATGGTCCCATTACTCTCATCCTTTCACTAGTTTCTCCCCTCTGGCAAGACAGCGCATGCTGTCTGCAAAGACAGCAGGATTTGACAACACAGGGCCTAGTAATAAAAGGGTTGGGAGGGGAGGGGCAAGACTGTGAGACACGATCATGTATCTTCTCAGGAGAGTACGTGTAACTGGAGAGTGTGTCTGTGCTTGTACCGCTCCCGGCGGGGGGAGTCGTACGAGAGCTTGCTCCTAGGCATCTCTGGCAAGTGCGAGGTAGAAGAAGAAAGCGCAGGTTGACATGAGGGACGCTGGGAGGTGTTTCTTATGGCTTGGGCGTGATCAGTGGGAGGAGTGCAGTCGGGTAGCGCCTTGGACATAAGCCAAGTAAGAACTTGTAGGGGAGGAGGGACTGAAAGGAGAACTGCATGGGTAAGGGAGTTTTTTCTCTGTCTCAGTGGCAGGTAGAAGAGGCTGCTCCAAAACTGGAGGCAGGAGGTGATCCAAGGAATAACAAAAATGATAGTGATCTTATCTAAGGGCAATTACATTGATTTGCAGTAAGAGGAAGGGTATGGCAAAGGTTATGAGAGCTGAAAAAGATGTTAGAGGCTGCAAATTGCATTAGGTGGGTGGCACAAGATAGCAGTGGTGGTGCTGCAGGAGTTTTCTTACTGCTTCCAATTTCAGTCACTTCTCAGACTGCAATGTCCATAAAGCTCTCTATAGTTTTGTGTATAGTGTAGCCAAATGTAACAGCTATCCTGTGTATTTGAGGGAAGGCATATCTAGTATTTGGCTGCAAAATCAGTTTTTCTATTACAGTAGAAGCATAATTTTTTTACTGGCTAAAAGAATGCTATGGATTAATGCAGACTTTTCCATTTGTAATACTGCTTTGCGGAGGACTAAATTTCTGTTCTAGATAAAGTGTATGAGGAAATACCTATGTTTCTTTTTCAGCAATCTCAATCCAGAGAAAAATGCAAACGAAAATGGAATGTCTATGCAGAATGATAACTTTGAAGAGATCATAAACCTGCCTGTTGGTTCTAAACCATCCCGGCTGGATGCCATGAACAATGACGGAAGCAATAGTCCTGAAATTCCTTTGAATCCAATTCTAGCCTTTGAAGATAAGGGGACTCTTTTGCCTCAGGTAGATAGTGTTCAAACACATCAAACAGCAGGTACGTTCGCCTTGGTTCGTTAACACTTGTAACGTGTTGTAATTGACAGAGGAACTAGAGTTCTTAATTGATACAAGTTGATTAATTTAAGTATTTTTAAACCCCATATCATTTGGGGAAAGGAGCGTATCTCCTCTTTGCAAAGCTATGCATGCCAAGTACATACAGACGTTGTGCAAATCTGTATGAGCCTTAGGTTTTGGTTGGGGGGGTGGTTCTCAGTTACACTGCACTTTCTGCCATTTGAAGTTGCTTGAAAATGTTTGCCCTGTGCTTTCAAACAGAAACGGTAACAGTGACAACTGCTGTCCCTAGCTTGTGATCAGCAATCGTGTTCCAGTTCTGCAGGCGTGATATCCGACACGCACATGCAGAAGGGGAGCTGGTACCTACCTTCTGTGTAAGGTTCTGGATGTACTTCCCTCATCAAGTTCTTGCTGACACTAATATTGAGGGATGGTTTGCAGCACACTAGATTTTTCTGAATTGCATCACAACTTTTAAAGGATGTTAGGTAAACAAATACTAATTTAGCAAGCTAAGTTGGACTACCATTTTCTTTTTCTGTGGCTAGAAAATGTAAGTAAAATCATCTTAGAATAAAATAATTGCATAAATGCATAGCATTTTGAAGCATTGTCACTCTTTGCTGACCTGTCATTTTTGATACCTTCTGTTGTAGAAGTGATCTGATTGTTTCTTCTGAAGAACCAAAGGTGATATGAGCATCTCTGCAATCAGTGGAGTTTCTTCCATGCTATGAAGGAGCGTTTTATTTTTTTCTCTCCAGTTTTTTAAAGATTCCTTGAATATCTTTTTTGGAAGGACTTTAGTAAAACCAGCAGAAGAAATGATGGGAATAGACTTGGATCACCTTTCTAATAGCTTTCATCACTAGAAAAATCATGCTTCACGTGCATTACTTAATTCGGCTTTTTCCAACAAGCTTTTTCTGTTAGTAAATGGATATTTCTGCATTCCTTAAGACACAAGACACTGGAATCTGAAGGCAATGGGCTGATTTGGGTGGTGGGACTGATTCTTTTTTTTAGAAGGTGGGTGTTGGTTTAAAAGGCGTAATTGTAAAATTGGCAAAGAATCTTTTACACTTCGTTCTAATACTTGAAAAATAAATACCTCATTGCTCTACAAGTAGAGTTAATGGGGTGTTTTATTTAAACCTGTTGGTTTAAATACTATTGCAGAGAACTCTAATTATGGGGGCAAAGTATAGGCTTCTGTATCAGGTTCTTGTAAATGTAATTCCTACAGGGACATTCTGTAAAATGAGACGTCTCTATGATCTTCTTGCATTTTCTCTAAAAAAACAAGGCAGGTTTTAAAATGTGAACATTTGAAAGCGTTATTTTTTCATGGACAAGAGGAAAACCTATTGTTCTCCTAGATGATGTATTTATGAATTTTGTTCAGTACAGAAATAAATCATTTAATTGAATAAATTAGAAAAATGTGGTAAAACGATACTGCAAACTTGATTTTTTTTTTTAGTTACATCCATGTTCACTATACTATAAAAGATGCGTATGCATACGCGCACACACACAAGGAAGTACCTTGTTCCGAGTCCTGTAAATTGCTGCTGTTCCCAATGACGGAAGACTTTTCCTTTGCCTTATCAAACTATTGAAGACTGTGTGAAACCTTGAAGCAGGTTTGTTTGGGGATGTTTTTGGTTTTGCTCGTTTCAGAGCAAATGGAAAATGGTCGTTGTTTGTGCTTTTTATGTAGTGTGTGATTTTTATAAAGCAGTACAGTTTGATTGATAAGAGGAGCAATGCAGGTTGCTTTCTCTTTAGTTTCATGCTGGCTTCTGTCATTGTTCCATCCCTCACTTTTGGTTGCTTATTGGGCAGAACTGTAAAATCTTGCACCTTTTTGTGCTTTGATAAACAATGCTGTTACAGGTAGAGCTCACTCTAGGTATTTGAGTTGGAAGCACCAACCAGGGCTTGATGCATTTCTTACTGAAGTCAGGGAGAAGACCCTTGGCTAGGGGAAACGGAGGTTTATGGGGTTTCAGTTCATGCTACCAGAGAATGTACCATTAAGATTCCTGCACTTGCCTTTAGTGAGCACTGAGCTAGGCCTGTAGGAAGCTGTGCAGAAAGAAATCCTCTGCTCTGCTAGCAGAAGAAATCCTCTGAGACAAAAGCTGAAGAATTTTTGAAGAAATTACTTTCTGCCAAGTGTTCATCTTACACAGGAAATGGGGTAAAAGCAATGGAAATGAAATGACAGAGACTTCATCTGCCAGAATATATATGTAAGGAAAAAAACAGTCAGTGACAATGCTTTCAATAGTAGTTTGTGACACAGTAAGATTAATTGGCTTCCTTTCTTGCTTTCTTTAGTTTTCCATGTACATAGCCACAATATTTTGAAGTGTCTAAAATATGTAGTTTTTCTTTAAACCAATATATAGCATGTAAGAACCAAATAAAACTTGTTTGAAATATTTATTTCTATTTATATTTTCATTTTCTTGCGTAGTTGAAGCAGGAGTCAGTCTGTGATGGAAAACTCTCCTTGCTACTTCTGATCTGCTTAAAACTTTTCTTCAGATTTCCTCTAATCTCTTTACTAGAAAAGCAGTACTTGACTTGACAAGAGTCACTTGCAGTTGGAAACAGAGCAAAGAAATAGCCAGTAAGATTTAGCTTCAATTTTAAGTCTGAGGATTTGTTTAGGCTCAGGTTTAAATTATGTTGATCTTGATCTATTTAGGCTCAGGTATAAATTATGCTGATCTGTTTTTTGTGAGACTTCAAAATGCTTGCTTCACTGTTAGCAGCACAGATGAAGAGCCTGCTTCATTTCTCATGTGTGTTTTGGTGTGTTTTGGTTTGAGTTTTTTTTGAACAGGACTGCAGTAAAAACAACTCATAATTATATTCATTCCAGGTTTGCTTCAAATGAGAGAAAATTTCCTCCTTTTCAAGGGCCTGACATACAAACTAAAAGCTAGGGAACTGGGAGTAGAACTAGATGTATGAATAAAAAAAAAAAAAAAGAAAAGGATTGAAATTTTAAGTCCTTGGTTAAGCCCCTTTCTTTAAATGTGAGGAAAAATAGTTTCTCTTCTGTTGAATGGTGTTCTTGACAATAAAATACGGTATCAAATGAAGGCCAGCTCCTTTGCCTGCTATTGCAACTGGTTTTGTTGTTTGTACTATCGGAGGCAACACTTAACTATTCAGTGAGGTAGAACTAGCAATTGTAGAAGTCACAGACAGCTATTCTGAAGGAAGGGAGTAGTAACCTTTCACAGCAGCTAGACTGTGCGCTTTGGAAAGACCCAGCTCCTTGCTCATGTCTTAACAGCACAACATAAATGCTGACAGGCATGACATTCAATGAGTTTAGTTCAGCACATCACAACTGCTGGGTTATTTACCATTAGCTTTGCTTGTTTCATGTCTCATATCTCCTCATTCCCAATGAAGAATGCTTCATTTTTTTCTTTCTTGCTAAGACATTGAAATAATGTTTGTAATTAAATACCTAAGAATACAGATACAGGACAGATTCTAATGTCACTACTTAATATTGCACTGATTTTCTTTTTGGAAAATGATCTAAAGTCGCCCAAGGAGGAGGCCTGAAGTTTGAGATTTTCTGATTTTGTTCCTAGCTGTGTCATTCAGCTCTTTGTAGTCCTCTGTTTAAATAAGCCCAACTGCCCACAGCTTGGAACATGAGTCTTTCACATGAGATTTCAAAAGAAAATTCCTGTCACACATGAATATTGAAAATGCCATACTGCTTTATCTGAAGTCTCTGTCTGCCCTGTTCTTTAACAGGTCTTTTTACTGCACTATAGAGAGGCTTTTGAGTGTGGTTTTGGTTGTTTTTTTTTTTAAACAGTACTATTGGAGAGAATTTGCAGTTATTAAAATGAATCATTAACAGAAATGCCCCCCCAAGCACCAAAACTAAGAGATTTGGGCCACAGTAAAATGTAATGTTGAGCTCTTAGTTGACAGAATGATTATTTTTTATTATTTTTTTTAATCTCACTTTTAATTCCATGTTTGTAGCCAGTAGCAGCTCTAAAGCTCTACATGCATGTAAGAGTTATACCATGGTCAGAAGTACCTCAAAAGACAGGAAACTCTTCTGAAATGTTTTCATAAGAAACTGTGCTATCTGGGAGCAGATGTTTGCCATAAGAGTGGTTCCAAAATTTCAGTATTCCAGCCAGTTCAACATGAAGCTCCAGGAGGATTCTTGTATTTAAACGCAAGTGTATTGATCAAAGGTGGAATTGGATTATTAATAGATGATGATGATTATTATTATTAGATTACTATTCTCTTACAAATTAAAACTACATTAAAAAAACTAGTGCCCTATAATTTCAAGGCTCTGTGCTACATTTTTTTTTTCCTGAAAAATACTGTTTTGGTTGGCTAAAAGGTCTGTGAGACAGACTATCTCCCTCAGGAGGAGAGAAAGGGGAGGTTGTTCAGTATCCTGTATACATGTAAGAAAATTAGTTTAATTTAAACATATTGCTACCTTTTTTTGTTCTTTAACTCCTTTTAAAAGGAAATATGGATATCAAAATGTAAGATCAATTCCTAATTTTGCCAAATATGTTCACTTTTTCCCTGTTGCAAGTACCTTTGGAAATAATTTACCATTTGCAGAACACAGATTTCTGTATTCAAACACATCTCAGCCAAATCTTTCATGGTAGCTGCTATATGATGCAACATCCACCTGCCTCAACGTGCCTCTGCTCCCCTGCTGGAGGGTAGTGCCTACAGTGTAGGCAAGGATCAGCCTTAAGGCTTGCCCTGTTCTTGTTTCTTACAAATTTCTTGCAATTTCTGAGTTGTCCCTCAGCAGTTACTTCCTGTAGGTTACTTCCTGTAGTAGCCTGTTAGTAGTTTGCTACCTTTATACTATGTGTTAATTCAATTATTTTCTAAATTCAAGTCCCTGGAGTGTGCTCTGAAATAAGGGACATGGAACAGAAACAAAATAAAGATGAATGCAGAGTAACCTGCGTACTTGAGAGATGCCTCTTCAGTAGAATGGGCCTGTTACAGTGCTGTCTTTTTGGAGCGGGAGGTGAGGAAACCACGAACAAACCATGGAAGATTACCCAAGCATAACTGGTGTTTTCCAAACCGTTGGAAGGAATGTAGCTGTAGTTCTCAAGCACACTTAAGCAGCCAGGCAAAGTGTTCAAGGGATTGTCTTTTGACCTGCTCTGATTCTTGTTACTGGAACATCTCTTTTGTATGAAGAAACTGCAAGTAGCAGGAAAACTTTAACTACAGAAACCAATGAAAAGAGTTGTCTTCTCTGAAAGTTCAGGCTCTTGGATGTGGTAAGTTTTCATACGCCATCCGGCTTAAATATTAACTGTCTTCGTGGCAAATAGCTGCCCTAAGGAGCTCTTGAGTTTCTTCTGTTTGTTGACGGACTTGCTCAAGGAGTTTGCCCATTTGGCTTTTTCTGAATGCTAATGAAAATTCTGGATCTGAAGAGGAAAAACAAGTGTTACACAACCTGCTGTTTCTCCTTGAGTTTTAATGCAGATGCTTAGAAAGCTTATATTTCAGGTTAGATACATTTGATGGTTCTTACTACAGTGTAAAGTATAGAGAAGGCAGAACAATATTCTTCTACCACACAAAGCAGATAAAAATCCAGTTTTCATCCCTACGACCGTTCAAGATTGCTGCTAAATTCTTCTGCTCCAGACGCGTAAAGCTCAGTTGCCAAATTCAGCCTTATGCAACAGGTGCATATCAAGACATAGCAGGGTGTTGGCTCTGGCTCTACATATGTGTGAAGATGCATGCTATATACATTTACTACCATATTATAACGCTCATCCGTACTCAACTTCTACCCAAAACCAAAAAAACTAACCAAAAATGCAAAAAGATAAAGGAACAGAATTTAAAGTATGAAAAAGATGTGAGACTTCCCAGCTTTAACACCAGCTAATCAAGCAATTTGCTTGTTTGCTTGCTTTATCAAAATAAACTGAATTCATATTTGAAACGTTTTTAGGTTGCTTCTAGTGCCAAACATTCTTATGTTGGATAAAAACATCTGTATCTGAAGTCCTATCTCCCTGCTGATCAGAAAGCTTTTAGTTTTAAAGCAAACAAACAAAAAAACCCCCTGCCTTTATCATAAGGATACTCTTAGTTACAGCTAAGGTAACAGCTAAGGTAACAGCTACCCTTGAGGTTTTTCTGTTTGGTGAAGTGAGCAGGGCTAGTCCCCAGAGGAAGTTGCCCTGCACTGTCGTTTCTGTTACAAAGCAGTGCCTGTTTGCTGCTGACAGGAGCCGGCAGCGTCCGGCAGCGCCCCGGGGGCTCAGCCCAGCAGGAAGGACATACCTTCTCGCAGTCTGCAGAACGTAGAGATGCCCAGCTGCTGAAAGCGGATCTCTTGGTGGGTAAGAAAATTCTTGAGGTAGGCCTGAATCTCTCCGATGTGACACTTCAATAAAAACATCATTTTTCCTGCATAAATGGGAAAACACAGAGATCAATAGGAGCCTTTAAAACACTTTGAAAACTGATTTTTGTAACAACATTTAAGATCGTTAATGACTCATCTGACCAGCTATAACCAACATTACTGCAAAGAATGGCAAAGAACTTCCATGTATTAAAGCCTCTAACGGTATCTTCAGGTAAATGAAACATTGAGTGGGCTGCTGTGCTAGGAAGCTGGTCCCTGTGCGAGGTGCATGCTGATTTATGCACTGATCAGCCTGTCACGCTAAGCCACCCATGAAGCGGTTATGCTGTTGGACTCTGTTCACTACTTGAGAGTCTGCTCTGTTGCAAATCCTCGATGGTAGGATTGAAACAGGTTTGCATTTTCCCTTGTTAGAGACTCGTTATGGACTTCAGTTTCTCTTGCATCTAAAGATTAAAATCTAACCATGCTTTTCTAGAGAACATGGCAAAAATCATCTGAACGCTTTTTTCTTGGAAGTCTTAAAGGCTCCCAGCTGCATGGGACAAGTATATTAGGCATAAAGCTGTTTGTTTTCTGTAGGTAAAAATAATGCTCTTTTCATTCTCTCTCACTAAAACTTAAAAAAATACAGGCTACATTTTTAAAAGCCACTTTACTTCACTGCTCCTGCTAATCTAGTCTAGAATTACAATGGCAGTGTTTTACACTATCCCACTTTCCTACTTAAGTTGTTTTTTAAGGCCCTCAGAATTGGCTACAGACTAGCCCTGCAGAATGGTAGTGCTTGAAGAAGGCAACAAACACCTGAATCGGATCTTTATCTGTGGTCCATTTTCATCCTTTGGCTTTCTCATGCACTCAAACACTGTTTTATGTGTATTTCAAGGGTGACTGTAGGCGCTTTTATGTTAATGAATTTGTAGAGACCAGATGGAGGATGCTATAGGAATGTTAAAGGTTGTTCAGTTCCTGACAGTTAACTCCTTTGGGAAAAGGCTCATTTCACTCTAGCCAGCCATAAATATCTTTGAAAGCACAGTTAATGCTGTGTGACAGTTACCGTGACCTATCGTGTGCTGGATGATGGAGGCAGCTTGAAAGGATGCCTCAATATGTTCCAGTTGGCCAGCCAGTCTCACCAAGCACTTTGTCAAGGGTTCATCCATCCACTGAACCATGTGTAACGTGGCTCCTTCTGGAAGATAGAAAGATAAGAGAGCAGTCTGTAAACAGCAACTCCAGTGTCAAAAAAATGAAGGTGAGAGGTCTGCCAGAAAACATACTGCCTAAATAGGAAATACTTTACACAGCTGGAGAAGCAAAATAAGTGCTGAACTTGTGCGATAAGTATGTTTAGGTTGTAAAAAGGGTCACGCCCTGAGGTTACGCTCTCAGTAAGGTAGGGCTGTGGATTTCATTCATACAAAGGCTGATGGATTTTTATTTTGTTGGTTTTGTGTTCTGAAAGAATGAATCATTTTATGTACGAGATCCACTCTTGCCTAGTGGGCTCAGTCTGTCCAGCAGCTGCTGGGCACCTCTTGCAAAATTAAATGTGACATGTCACCAGTTGCGTGGTGGTTACAAGAGATGCAGGAGATGAAATGTTTGACAGGTAATATCCGGTGCTGGGACAGGCTGGGAAGATGTACATTGATCCTCTGTGGCATGAGGAGTACTGTACCTTCCACAGGTGGTAATTTGGGATCTCTTACAAAATCTATGTGCAATAAACTTAAGCAAAAAAAAGCCACTTTGTGTTTTAGCCTTTTCCTCCTTTTATATTAGTTTTTGCTGTTGTGAAATGAATTCAGTCAGAGAAACTGGACAATGTTACAAATAAAAGTAGACAGGCGCTGTACAGCAGTGAAGTTCAGCACAAAGAATTTTGAGTAAAAAATTTTAAGCAGTTCAACAGAAAAAAGTGCAAACAACGGAGCTCATGTCTCCTGCCAGTGAGTCAGATCTTGCTGCTCTTGAAGCTTATGGCAAAACTCCCAGTGAATTTAAGGGGAAAGACCTGGGCTGTATGCCCACCCATGCTTTATCTCCCATTAGGATTAATAAAGGATATGTACCTGTCTCAGATTAAGCCATTTAGGGTGGGGTTGCTTCCCTACCTTGCTTTGCCAGCTCAGCAAGGCAAGATGTCACATAATGAAGAGAATCTTCTTGAAGGTCAGTAGAAAGCATGGCCTGGAGGAGACCTTCAACACATGGGCTCTCCATGATTCTCTGCAACAAGAAAAAGATTCATGTTTAGCACTTCCATTATGTTTTAGTGGTGTCTAAGGACTTCAGAAGTATGAATAACTTTAGCAGTACTGAGGGCTAAAACATCAACAATGGAAATGTCTCTTCCAGATCTACCACAACCAGGTGACAAACACCTTGGATTGTTCAGAGATCGCCTGATTTTAGACATTACCCAGGGCTTGCTCTGTCTGTGGGATGTTCTCATGATCACAGATCATGCGGAGCTCAAAGAATTTCCTGACCTATTGCTGCTGTACCAGGCTGTATGTTAGTATTAAGCTGTCATTTGCTCAAGTCTTGCTGCAGAGGTGAATAAACTGAGTGCTCAGGGCAAAGCATTGGGAAATTTGGAAGTTTATCAGTTTCTTTTATTTACCTCCAAGGCTTTGAAAACTTTCTGGTGTTGAAATGATCTGATCTGCAGAAATACGAGATGACCTCTCACTAGCAAAGGTGAGTTCTGTTTCTGGAGAGAAATGTTATGAATTAAACATTTCTGTGTATCCCTTATCTTTTAGGTTGAATCTGCTATGCCAAAGTGGTGTTGGGCAGCATGTCTCTGTACTGGGATATATATTTTAGAGACTGAGTTGAAGACAGATAGGAGACTTAGCCTGTGCTGACCTGGATTAAAAGCACAGGAGAACAAGGAGTGAGTCCTGAATGAGTCACCTGGAGGTGACTGGTTACTAGTGAAGTTGAATCACAAAGTCATCAGCTCTCTGGGAGGTCCTAATAATGGAAGCTGCTCGCACCTCCATAAGGGAGTTCAGGTGTCTATCAGCAGAAGGGAGTATCTTTTTTTGTGTGCTTATTTTATGTTGAAGTTTTTTAACTTGCTGCTTAGAGGTCAAAGCTGGATTCAAGACTGCTGCCTTTCAAGCTCCCACACTCCATTCGTGTCCTGCTGGCGTAGAAACAGCACTTTTTTGACTCTTGTGCCAAGAACTCTTATGTGTTTTAGGGATGGTTCCTTAGAATTGATCATGGAAACCTGGCACTCCCACTCATGTCTGTGGATTCACTTGTGCAGTGAGAGCTGAGTACATTGTAAGGCACATTATAAAGCTTCATGTAGGTGAACCAGCTCCCTGCTGATAACAGAACAAAGTCACAGAATTTAAGTGACAAATGTGGTAATTTTTTTAAAGCAAACTTTGAAAGGATGATCCATTTTTACTCTTACTGTGGGCCTCGAGTTTGAGGGAATCTATTTCCCTGCAAAAATTGATTTCACAACTATCAGAAATTCATATAATTCTTATCTTAGTATAAGTGAAAAAAATTATTGGAAATAGTTTTCCTTTTGGCTACTTTATAACAAACCTCAGATCTTCCTGGATGGTTCCTTTAATTAGTATGAAATGTCTTTGCAAAAAGTACATTTTATACCTATGATGCAGTCATTCAACTTAGGTAACCACATCACTCAGGAAAAATTAGACATTTCGTATTTTCCTTAGCATTTTTGTATTGTATTGGAAAAATATAAAAAAAACCTAAACCCTTTCATTATGGCACATCACGTCCTTTTATTCATACACGCAATTTTGTGTAGAGTATCCTTGGCATATGTTTCATTAAAAAAAAAAAAATCTTTCTGTGGGTAATGCTGATGTGATATAAACATAACTGAAACCTCCCAGGGTATAGTTCAGTGACAAATACTGGGTACCTACCTGTCTGTTTTTGGAAAGGCTCAGGTTTTTGATGATACAAGCAGTATGGCCAACAATCACAGGGTCTGTTTTATGTGCTGACAGTAGCATCCCCAGGCTCTGTAGTAGCTCGGCACACGCCAGAGTGTCCTGAGAAGAGAAACCAGTATCTCAATTACATCCACTACGGACAACACAGTGCAACTTTGCAGCAAACTATAGATAGATCAATCTTAGCTCTGAAAGAAGAGCATTCTAAGCTCATTTAAACCAGTGGTATAGCAGCTAGGTTCACTGCTTTTTCTCTCAAAATACGGTCTACTGACTGGCACTGATCTACAGAGCACTTGCTACGGAAAGCTGGAGTCTTTAAGGTCCGGAAGTTTATTTTTGTTTGCATCAAACACTTCCCAGAGGTGGTTGGTAGTCAGGGGAAGGACGTGTGATCCTGACTGGAAGGAGAAGTGGTCAGGATAGGTGTGAAAGGCAAAAGTCCACAGTGAAGTAGCAGCAGCAGTGTGTCCTTGAGCACCTCAGCAATTTACCTCGCCTACAATAATGGACTACTACAATGCACTTTAGTAACATGTTCTGAACAGCATCTTCTGAGTTTATACATACGTTTCTCTGCTGTCTAATGGATATTTTAGAGGGACTTTACTGAGTCCCTCTCTCCCTGAATGTAGTCTTCCTCCAATTACCACTAATATTAATTGAATCAGATCTTCTGAGTTTGGATTACTGCCCAGGTAGTTTCCTTAATAACAGTATGGGTTAAGAGGACGCTGCTGTTTATAAGAGAAACCTGATGTCAGCAGGCTTTGGGTTAGGTCAGTTAAAAGCAAAAGATTTCCTCTTGGGAGCATTTTTTCTTTCA